GCGCAGAGCGGCGGGCGCACGCCCCCGCCGCCCCGCCCGGCCACCACGCGCCCAGCGGCAACGCAGCTCCAGCGGGCCGGCCTGCGCCGCGCGCGCCACGCCTCGGCCAAGCCGACTCCACCCACTGCACCGCCCACAAACGCCATGCGCTCAGCAGCAGCGGCGCTGTCGAACGCAGCGGCGCGCGCGCCAGTAGGCGTGCGGGTGCGCCACGCGCCAACGGCCACGCACCCTCGCACACGCAACAAGGAAAAGCTGCAGCTGGCGGAGAAGGCGCCTTGCGCCCACCGCGCCCGCGGGGCAGCAAGCGCCCGCCGGCGTCGGACTGTTGGCTTGGCTGCGCAGCCGCTGCCACGCAAGCCAGCGCCGACCCGCTGCGCGCGCAGGCACTGGCGTGCAGCAAGCGCTGCAGCGCAGCAGGCGGCGCTGCTCGGCAATCGCGGGCGCGGCGGCGCCACCAGCATGCAGCGCGGCGTGGTGCGCCCAGACTCGGCACCGCGCCTCTTCACTGCCAATCAGAGAACGGTCCACGCGTTCGGCCACTCCCCCGGCGTAGCCGCGCCCTCCTCACTCGGCTGCCCCGGAGAGAGCCACCAAAACCTGCCACCTTCCGGGGCAGACGTTGAATTTTTTATACTTAGTTTACATTTGATTCTTCTTTAAAATCCGAAATTACGCTTATGGTACGTTGCAATCCACGATAAAAGTTTTGAAAAAATATCATTCTTCATTGGAACTGCAGTGTGAACAACAGCATGGCAAAAGAAGAATACTCTCTGGATACAAATGTTAATTAAACTGTTTCATTGAACTTCCTGTTCCTTTTATTGATTGCACTTATATAAAAATACTTTCTCACAATATTGTTTTTAAGGTTTACATACATGAAGACTTGAATAATTACGTATGTAAATATCATGTTATTTGTTTAAAATTACAAAGTAGTTGAATTGTTTTCCTGTGACTATTGATTAGGTGTTATTCAATTGTTCGGATTCTCTTTAAAATAAACAACATATATAAGTAAAATAAAAATGAAGCGTAAAACAAAAGATAACATGCGCTAGTTTTCTTAATTTGCTACGTGCTAGCTTTGTCGGTCTTCATTACTCCTCTTATGGTACCGTTAATCAAATACGAATTGTTTGCATTGATGATGTCAACAAAATAATTGTTTGATTGAAATTTGCTATATTCAACGCCTATTAACTAATTAATGTTGCTTTAATTTCTATCTTTTACTCGATTTCATTTTGCTGCAAAAGTACTTTGGTTTAATTTGCACAGAAGAAAATTTTTATTTTATTTGAAAACAAATTGGTTTGAGATATTATCGATTACAAAATATTGAGTATTTTTTAAAGAATGTACGGTCTTAATTGGAAATTTGGATGTCGTGTCACCGGGTGAATCCTCGTGGCTTCATCACTTAGGCTAGCAAGACAATCGCATTTTTTATTTTGACGATTATAGTAGCTCCCTGATATTCTGCACAGGAATTTTTTCACTTAATGGAATAATATTATAATTATTAAGGCTCTGCAGAAACCCGATCAGTGGTTTCTTTATACCAGAGAAGGGTACTTCGAAAACTGTTCGTTCGTCTCATGCGCCATCTATCCTCCACGCTTCCTCATCCTCTGTCCGTCCTGCATTAGTCACGTCGGTTCAGTTCGTCGTCCAAGTCTGTCAGTCTTCTTTCAAACGGCAGACGTACCGTCCATGTTGCAAAAACTAGCCCCATAACTTATTCGCGACGTTTTTTTCAGAAATGAGTTATCTCCTGTTTTTGATACTGGTCCGACTTGAAGGCGTGTATTTGATGAGAATTCTTTAAACAGTTTGGGGATGTTTGTACATGAAACTCTGAGCAAACGGTATTTCAAAACTGTGGTCCAAAATGTTTTGTGTAGAAAGGTGAAAATACGCTTATAAGATGGCATCCGTAGTGTTCGAGTTATATCTGTTACACCCGCGCTGGAATTCCGAAAAGGTTTCATTAGTGGCACATTGTTAATTAACGGCACGCAAATTAATGTCTTATAACGTTTTTCGAAACTAAACGTTTCTGTGAAATGAACTTAAACTTTCGCATTTTCAGAAACGCTCAAAAGCCGAATCTTTGAAACACTCTAAGTTTTGTCTTTAAACTTTTTGTACAGGACATGCTAAATACACTGTTTAAGATGACACAAAATTCCATTTTTGAGGATTTTTTTAAAATTAACGCAAATGTAATTTGTTTGAAGATCACTCTCATTGCATTTAATTTCCCTCTTTGACTAATTTTGCATTTAAAGTAACAACTTATACAACATTTTACAATTCGCTACCAGACAACATCATGCTCACTGAAGGATAATTTTTTATGCATTATTAACAAACGGTTCAAATATTTAACAATGCACTGATCTATATAGGACAATATATTATCCCCTTCCTTAAACATTATTAAAGTAGTATTTCCGGCTCTTGCCATTATAAATGAAAAATTGCGAAAATTAAAAAAAACATAGACAGTGGCGCAGCTAGCAAGAAAATGTGGGCATTGTCATAGAAACCAGACACAAGTAACTAACTGGAACGAGAAAGTCTGTGCCAATGTGTGTCACCCTTTTTTTCGTTTACTCAAGTGGCACTTTGGCAGTGCATATCCAAGAGACAAGTGCATAGCGCGTTATTCACTTTTTCCTTGCAGTCGAAAGTACGAAAGTGCTGCCAAGGAGAGTTGCCAGTCGGCGAACTTGTCGCTGTGAAAGAAATATCCATAATACTCTCTTAGACCCAAGATGGTATGTGTATTCAAGTTCTTCGGACTAGAATATTCATGCAGGTGAAATGCATTACTAATATGACTATTAGTTATCTGATGTACAATAGAACGCCAATATTTTTCGTTAATCTTTTCGTAGAAATAATTTTTTAAATGAAAAAAAAATCGTTCTGTAAATCACCTGGTGTGTTGTTTCTACTCATCTCATTTGTATTACATTTGTTTGTAATAAAATCGTGCAATCACATAATATACTATATATATCATATATATATATATATATTATATATAAGTATTATAATAATATTTCCAAACACTTATTCTATATTACATTTTTATTCTTTTCACCTTCAAAAACTTCTATGAGGGCAATTAACAATTTTACTATTCTTTATTAACGTTATAGTTTCGAAATCCTCTAATACACCACTAAAGTCTGCCGTCTCACACGAAGGCAAAGATGTCATAAACATTGCATCATCAAGAAACTATGTTCAGATACCTTTTAAGTTCAGTGAAGATCATTGCAATTCAATGCTTTTAACACGTTGAAGAATTAGTTGTAATCTAAACAATCAATAGTTCATGTAGTAACCACTGGTTTCTGTCTACTTAGAAACAAATGAAATGTAATGTAATTTTAATTAAAACTATCATCTCAAGTGCGATGTCAATGTTCATGTCTCCATAAATCTAAATTTGTTCATTAAATATGTTATTATAATGTCTGTTTTTATTGCCTTGCAATCCCGCAATCCAGAATCACCTGCAAGATTACACGAGAATTAAATTCCTCTTTAAGCCACGAACTTAAAAACAGTCAACGCCCACGCGCGTTGATTTTTCTTTCTTTGTACAACTGGGCCTGTTAGTTATGGAGAAACAAATTCTCAGCTATCTTAAACACATTTCTTAAGTTTTGCTAAGGACACTTGCCTGCATAGTTTTTATTATAAAGGAGAGCGATTTTTCCCCAATAGTATTTAATATGGTTCTTTCCCTAAAATCCCCCGTTTTAGTCCCTTTTAACTGATTTCTCACTATTCTTTCTTGACGAATATGTAAACGATTCTTCGAGGGAGACCCATCATATTTTAACCAAAGCTTACCAAAAATTTACAGCTGCTTGAAATTATCGTAAAAATTTATAAAGGTTTCATCTTTGTTTTCTGCCCGCTTTCAGAACAAGTTCAGTAACAATGTAAATTGTAGGTCGTTTTAATAGTTCTACGTTTAGACACCACTAACTGGCGTATAATTTTCTGGAATACTTTAGTTTTTTTTTTGAGTTTGAGTATGATTTAATTTGAAAACAGCACGACGAATAGTGAGTTAACGAAAATGTTCCACCAGACTTACATGTGATTGTAATGCAGTATGCGATCTCACCGCTAACGTCACAATCACGTCACGTTCCTATTGGTATGAAAAAATACACCGGCGCGGCTTTGCGAAGTTCGCATTTAACTGTGTAGGAGGTGGAACCTACACAGTGGGTTACTTAAAATGGAAAGTGGTGTAGCAGCACCTAACTTTACACTTACTTATTGTCCAGATTGTGCGCGAGCATAAAGAAATTTGATAATTCTGAAAACGTAAGAATCTCGATTAAATTATTTGATGGGGGATGAGAAAGGTGAACAAATAATATGAGTAGAAAAAATCTGACAACTCAACACACACATATAATACAGTAAAAAACAATAAGGTAAAACTTTAATGTAGAAAGAACCCAAATGAAAACAGGGGCCAAAAAGTGTGTAATGAAATATTAACAGTAAATATAAACCTGAAACAGTGTAATTCTATAATAACTTTTCAAACATCTACAGTAACCAAATAAATACATCTTTGGAAATAATATACTCTTACCAAAGGATCTCTCCTGATATTATAGATTATAAGCTCTAGTATGAACCGGATTTTTGAATCAGTTTACTATTTATTTTTCTTAAGCTAGTGAATATAATGGAATTTATTTACATAATACTAGTTTCCTGATACAGAGTACTCTTTTTGGTTTTAAGAATACAGGGATATTAACAAGAAATATTGTATTAACAAAATTTTAACACCATTTAAGAACGCTTCCTACTCATTGCTGTTTTATCAAACAAATGATACTACATCTGAAAGCTTTCCTAAAGAATATATAGTAATAACTGTGGTTTGAATTTGCAGCATGACTCAGAGAGATTTATCTTACGAATCCTGCTGGCTACAATCGTTTACACGGGCGCACCGCGCGCTTTTCTTGATAAAGCGGCGTACGCGTCGTAACAGAAATTCAATTCCTCTCTCTGGAAATTTAACATGAATATGATGAGGAAAAAGTGAGGTCGAGTTCAAAAAACCACGTGGGCAGCCTTGGCCCTGAGTTCTTACAGCTTCTAGCGGGCCATGGCGCCTTATAAATACCTTTACGTTTTAACGAATGATAAAGAGACGTCGACCTAACTGTTGAGCATCGGGGGTCGGGGGTCGGTGGCGGGGAATATCCTTTATGAGAATCCCAAGTTGTCCCCTGGACTGTTCCCTCTTCTCGGATGGCAGAATTTCGAAACGTGTTTTAACGAACTTTCTCGTAGTGATGAAAGGGTCGGCCTAGCCTTCACACGGCAGAATGCAAAACCCAGGATCCAGCAGTCCGTTGTAGTGATACTCGGGTCATCGTATCGTATGAAAAGAAGTTGGCTCAGTATGGACCGGTACAAAGATCAATTGATTTAGATAATACCGATTCCAGTACCATTGTGACACAACTGAATAGGTCAAGATGGTTATCAAGATATATACTATTTATGAAGTTAATTTAAACACATCGCCATAAGTAGAATATACGAAGCGACAAAAGCTTTGGAGGAAAAGCGCAGCGGTGAATGCATTCTTTCAACAACGATCTGATTACTACACGATTTTACACACGCAGGAACCTAATAAATTTGTCACAGCAAGAAACTAACGCTGAATCTTAATAATCATCAATACATTATAATCAGGGTAATTATCTTTATGATAAGAGGGTTATTTTGAAGAATTTTATAGGCAGATTATAACAGATTCGGTCGTCGTACTATGTTGACAGAAACGTCCTAGTCTGCTCATGCCACTGGTTCAAAGTGGAATTAGATCGTTTTTCATTTGCGGATAACGTTCGGTGCAGGTGCTGCACGGTGATTCCAGCGATCGATGTACTACGTGGATCTTTGTTGCAATGCAGCAGCGGTATCAAAGATTCTCATAAAGTAATACACATTTAGTTTAGAGGTGAAAGGAGGAAATAAGATTTTAGTATGGAGAATAACGCTGATTGGTCATATGTATGTTTCAGATATTAGGAACGTTTAAAAAACAATAGTAAATTGAGAATGATGAGAGTAATAATACACCTACTAGTACAAAATATAAGCTTGTATTCGTTTTTGTTTTTTTGCATTAAACCAAAATTGAGATATTTATTATTCGTAAAGGGCAATTACTTCACAAGCGGGAATACGCTTGTCAAAAAGCGAAGTGACAGCTCATTATTAAAAGAGTGCGATAGTTTTGGAAATTTGGATCAGGTAAAGCTTTTACTTGCGTTCGAATCAAATTTCCATAAAACTTTCATTCGTTTCTGCTCGATGAGACGTTCTATCAAGTTTTGCTCCTGGAATCTGGGAAACGGAGGAAAATTCGTACGTCAGCAAAACAGTAATGGCAAATTATTAGGATTTCTGACAAATGTAAACTATTTCTGATTTGTCCACTCTTTATGGAAACTAGTACTAACCATCCCACCGTATGTAATAGTTCATTTTTAAAATAAAAACAAAACGTTTTTTAAAACTAAAATAGTTTACATTGTTGGTGATAAAAGTTTTTGAATTTTAGATTTACCTTTGTGAAGAAAACGTATAAATTTGATATCTAGTTAGCTTGATAAAACTATGGTCAATCACATTGCTTTCGTGAATAGAATCTAATAATATTATAATAGTATCAACAGCTCCCTCATTAGAATTTACGTGATTATTCTTCCTGGTTTCTTCTCAGATCACAACTTCCCTGCATTATTGTAAATGTGTTTGCGAACATCACTCTTGGTTCTTCTCGCACATTATCGACACTAATTTTGGTCATCTCGGCAATAAATACTCCTTATTTAATTAAATCTTCTGTTTTTGAGTATTACATATCGATCAACAGATATTCTTAGATTTCTCTCTAGAGCACACATCTAGTGAGCGCTGAGGTATCTCGTATCAAATCGTGAGAGATAAAAATTCTCACGGTCTTGAAATATAATTCGTCATATTCTGTTTCATGTTCCGGCATCGTCTACCGAACGGGCACACTTCGTCCGCTCTTAATAGCTACAGCAGAATCTGACTTCACAGCGAGCGTATGATGGATTCGTCATCGTTGCTGTTTAAAGTATTGGTCCGCCCTCGCGCCGCCGCCGCCTGCGCTCAAGGGCGGACCTCAGGGGCGTCACCTTCAGGGCTGTCTCGGGATATGTAAGTATCGATCTGATGAAATGAATGTAGTACTTATTCCATGCTATGGTCGGTATTTGTTACAGTGGCGTTTGGTGGGAAAAGAAGATGTGAATGAGGATCATTTCTATTTACGTATTTACGAGGAGCTTTGGAACATTTTGGAAACTATCAACAATTTCTCGTAAGAACCGCTTTTGATGTATTTAATTAAAATTAATTGTTTGCAGTTAGAATGTTTTGTTTGAGATTGCTTTTACATCTGTTTTGCTGGTAAAATTTCATTTAGAAAGACCGGGAGAGGTGGCTCAATGATTCGACTGATGTCACTGTAGTGCCGCTGATTAGGGGAGTTCTAGGTTCAAGCCCCGTCGGCGGCAAGATTTTCGGCACTAACTTATCAGCTAGGTCGAATTCAGTCGCCGTCTTGAGGAGAATTGAAGCGGCTGCTTAGTAGGAGTTTTCCGTGGTTTCTCCGATCAGCATAAGGCGAATGCCGAAGCAATACTCTAACAAACGATCCACGGACCGCACGCACTCTTCCTTCATCTTCCTTGTATTCCCTTACACACACTTACATGCACTACACTTATACTTGCTTGCCGTGAGACAGGTCGGGAGCTTAGAGCTTGTCCCGGCTGAGGCGGTATCCCACTATATTGGCAACTTAGAACACATTCACAGAAGTCGAAAATTTAAAAAATTGTACGTTTTTATCGTATATATTACAAAGAAATCGAATAATTATCGATACATCTATTTTCCGTTTTACTGCCAACACAGTACGGGTATACTGCCAACACGTGCAAAATAGCTGGTGGTTATTTATTTCTTCGAATTTTTAAGCAACTTTTTGCTCAGTAACAACTCTATTTGTTTTCTTAAAATTTGTTCCTGGAATATATCAAAGAAAGGAATAAAAATTGGTGCCTGTTCCATTTTTTCCGAATTCCGTATTTTTGGAAATTGCAACAATTCTCAACATTGCAAAAGTATAATACTGGATACAGATATTTTTGTCTTAAATGAAATATGTTCTAAAAAGTCAGCTATTTGAAAGAGGCAATTTTTCATTTTTTCCATGGATATGACAAGGATTAAACGAATGGCGCAGGTCTCATTTTCTTTGAAGTCTCTGAATTTTTGAAAATTGCAAATTTTGAAATTTTTTAGATACAATGAGAAAAGTATGTGCCGTTGCAATACCACAAGATACATTTGTGTCATACATGGTAATTAAAAAAATCGTAGATATTTTCACTTATGTTAAATTAAATGTGAGAAAATATATCATACTGGGTAGTATTAGAGTAGCAGCTTGCATTTAATGAAAAGCAAAAAGGTAGCTACTGCGATTCAGCCTTTTTTGTTCGAATTGCCTAACAATAAAAGAAAAGATGTCTACAAGTATTTGTCAGAACAATGATGAAAGCAAAGCTTCCGTGAAGGTAACTATATTATGTTTACTTCAGAAACTTTCTACACAATAACATAAATAAGCATAAGATAAATATTTAGTGCCTTTTTAAATGCCCACTTTTTATTTAAATGCCTATTTTGCCTACCAATTCTACCGTTTTTTGTTTCTATAAATTCTAAGCATAATTATGACTTTCCCGTTACAACAGTTTACTGCGTATCTTGACATATTTTTGCCATTCGTTTACAGTTTCCAAGTAAAAGCTTTGAACCTACCTTCTCTCAAACAGTGATATTTTTTAAGCAGAAGTAAGGATGAGCGACGAGAATTGCGGGTAGCTGTGCAAGTAAGATTTGGGATGTTCTGGGTGGCCTTCCACAATAAGCATTCAACTTTCACTTAAGCCGCAAAATAGTTCAATTTAGTTGAGATATATAATAAAATGAGCCAATGTTTTTTCTAACATCTGTAAATTATAGTCGTACCACATTATTACAAAAACGTTTATTACAATTTTATTTCTTGAAACAATTATCAATAAGAATATTTTTATCTACTTAATGAAATATAAATTGTAAAATTTCTTCTCACAAAGTGTACAGTCTCTTTATTCACTATTATTTCTATATTTTTTAATTATTGGGTTTAATCGATTTTTGTGGTAATACATAATCTTCAAATTAAAAAAACGAGTGACAACCAGAAATTTTGGAACTGATTCTTATGCTCTAATAATGTAATTATTCTGATATATTTGGTAGGACTATCTTGCTCTCCCGAAATTACTCAGATTTTGGAACTCTGCGTGAAGACGGAAAATGGGAAGGAATCATGAAAGTACTGCAAGAAAGAAATGCTGATGTTGCCCTTTGTGATATGTCCATAACATCTCGACGACTCGATGATGTTGATTTCACCGATACTATCTGCGATCAAAGGTAAGTAGAGGCCTATCTGACATTTTTATTTCGGTACAAAATTCCGTAATTGTTATTTACCAGTTAGCTTTGTTTAAAAAATTCAAAACAATATAATTGTAACTAGTACTGCTCACTTGCTCCTCTTAAAAAATGAAAATTAACCGTTTCACGGAAAAATACCTGGATCACACAAGGAATTAGAATATTGTGTAAAAACAAACGTACGCTTTACTTTATTTCTAAACATCATATAGTATCAGCTGCTTTCCATGTGTACTTCCGAGAATACAAAAGAATTTTAAGAAAAGTAAAAGTTCAGGCAAAAGTTATGAAAAATAATCAGGATATTTCGAACGCAAGTAACAAAAGTAAAGCAGCGTAGAATATCGTAATAAATACGACCACATTATCGCAATACTTAGTAGAGAATGTTGTTTTAAAGGGAAATGGAAGAGAAGGATGTAATCCGAAAAATGTGAGAATCTCTTCAACAAACACTTTTTTAAAATTGCGACTGAACTGACGAAGGGACTAAAATCTCAAAGTTCAACATCATTCCCTACGCAAACAAGTTTCGACACGATGTTTATTCCAAAACTTTAAACCCAATCCTGAGAATAGCCAGTAAACTAAAAAATAAATATTCATCTGATTTAGGTAAATTTCTGGATTGCTTATTAAAATCGTATGTACCTGCTTTTTGCACCCGTGAACTCACATTTTCAATGCTTCTTTTGCACAGGACTATTCTCAGATATTTTCAAAATAGCAAAAATGAAGCCACTTTTTAAAAAGAGGAACAAAAATGGAATTCGAAATTACCGGCTAATTTCTCTTTTGTCAGTTTTCACAATAATATTGGAGGCATTTCCATACCCGAATGGAAACTTTTCTCAGGAAAGACAAACCGTTTTCTGGCTCACAATACGGGTTTAGAATATCAAAATTACGGAAACTGCCTTTTTTCTTTTCTTAAAAATGTTGCTTCACCAATGGACCAAAATGAAGCTCATGCATTGGAATGTTTTTAGATCTTTCGAAAGCTTTTGACGTTATTGACCATCTTGCTATGAAAATTACCTTCTTATGGAATACGTGGTATTGGCCTAGATTAGAAAACGTCGTACCTTAAACATCGGTCTCAATGATTAGAAATATCGTTGTTGCATGAAAGGACATTATTTACTTATCTTTCCAATTCTTTACCAATCGAATATGGGGTCCTGCAAGGCTCGATCTTAGGTCCTGTCCTCTTTCTGTTACAATAAACGATATGCCCTCGTATATTAAAAACGAAGAACGGTTCTGTTTTCTGATGTCATGAATGTGTTTTGCAAAAAAGAAACAATAAATAGTACGATTTCAGAAGTTTCAAATTGGTTTTGTAATAACAAGTTAATAGTTAACGGAGGAAAAACATTTTCAATGGGTTTTTGCGTTTCAAATCAGCAATCGCATGCTTCATGTAAAATGAACAATCTGCAGTTAGTTGATGTTAAAGTAACAAAATGTCTAGGCCTCTCAATTAATTCAAACCTCAGTGGAATGTAGATATAACATAATTAAACACTAAATTAAATTAAGTTCATTATGTTACGCATTCAGATTTTTTTCAAATTCTGTCAGCTCGTTGCATGTATTTTGCAAAAGTGCATTTCCGCGTGAGATATGGCATAATGTTTTGGGGAAGCCACCCATGTAGTTTCCAGACCTTTAGATCGCAAATAAAAATTATTCGAATAAAAGAACAAAGCCATACGCGTGATCCCTGCGAGCCTCGCATTGCTTTACCTATTTATTTACGAATCTGTAATATTTGTCGAAACTGGCATATAAACGGTGGGATCATCTTCTCATGCAATACTGGTATTTATAATTATAACACGTCGTAGAAATCAAGTTCATTAAGTGTCAGTTTCAACAGCTCACTACCAAAAATCCACATACAATACATGTACGTTACTTTAAAACGAATTTGCCAGACATTAAACAAATGAAGTCGATACACAAATTTAAGTTACACGTCAAATCTTTTCTCTTGCATAACAATTCTGTCAGCTCGTTGCATGTATTTTGCAAATTGAAGATTAGAGATTATATTGATCATCAAAAAGAAAATTAATGTTTATTCTAACAAAACTATATAATGAATTATTTTACATTGGTATTGTATTTTTTTTATGAATACTTGATATGCTTGTGACTAATAATGTATTTTTAGCTTCCGTGTTAATAACCCCATCTCGGTCAGGGTTTTGTCCAGTTTCCCTGATCCACTGAGCAAATGCTGAGATGGCCCCTTGTTGTGCTTCTTGATATAAATATAGCTTCACTCTGCACATGTTTTGTTGAACTCTCTTTTTGCTTGTAGTGGTAGGAGTAGAGGTAAGAGCGAGTTTACTATTTTGTTAGCAATGCAGAAAAATCAAATCTGCAGTTTCGTTTCCAAATACGTTTTCTATAACTGGGGAACGAAAATGTCTAGTTTTTCAAATATTGCTAATCTTGCTCTTTTTTTAATTCATGTTGTTTTTTTTTACTTTACACATCTTTTAACTACGTATAGTTTAAATGATAGGAAGGGGTTCTGGAACTCAAGAAAACATGCGCAGATGATCTTTTCCCCCATACTTCGCATACAGTTTTTACTGTTTTTTACTAAATAAATGAAACATGCCATAAAACCCTTGTGCCATTTTCAAACTTAATCAAGAAGAATGCAATTTCTTTAAGTCTTTGATAGACAGACCGAAGAAAGCATTTAGAAAAATTGTAAATTGCGCAAGTAAATTGCGTCAAAACCGGTTGTGCATCTCTATTATTAAACCATAGATTGCCTTCTCAATGAAACATATCATTCAATTTTAGATATTTAAATAGTGACAAGCACTTTTTTAAATAGTATTCATTGAGTAATAACTAGCCGCACTAAGAGAACGAAAAGTTTCAGTTTCTTGTGTTTTCCAATACTTTACACTTGCAGTGTCAGTGCCTATATGCGTCTTCCTACCCGCCGTTCCCTCATTGACGGATTCTTCGCCGTTCGCGCGGCCCTGTGGACAGCCGCTGTCGGTGCAGCGGGTGCCTGGCGCTGTTCCTGCCTTTGTGGTGCGGGTGGAGGGGCAGCGACGCGTCACCACCAGAAGACGCTGGCTCTTCGTATCGGCTGCCTTCTGCCAGCAAGGGTATGTCCATTGGAAAGCAAACTGCTTCCTAATCGATTCTTTGATCTGAGGGTCGGAATATATTTGTGTGCACAGGACAAAGCGCCGCAAGCCTGGTCTGGACGCTGATCTGTGTGTGCGCGCACTTGGTGGCGCTGGTGCTGGCCGCAGCGCACTCTGGTGCACTCATCTCTGCGCTGTTCTCTGGCAAAGAGCAATTGCCCTTCAGGTCACTTTTGGAAGCTCTTAACGATTCTACCACTCGGTTTGTCGTGACATTTCACACAGCATATCTCAACAATTCATTGGTACAGTATATTAATGATATGGACTTCACCATATAAAATTGTGTTTCTTACAAATAGTATGTTGTAATTGTCGTCAGTTCATTTACTTATTCGAATTATTATTTATTTAATACCTGAGACTTGATTATATTTTTATTACTTTAGAAAAAACACTAAAATTGTTCACACAGTTGTGAAGAATCGGATATTCGAACTTTTCAAGACATGTGTGCTGCTATTTACGAAAACTATCTTTTAAATATTTTTTTACAGTGATAAACGAGAAAACCATTTTGTGTGGGTTTCCTTGCATACATGCGGCTTTTACTAATATAAGGACCATTTTATAATTTGGTTTTCTACCCATAATTGACGTAGCGTGTTTTAAAAAAAGTATGGATTTTAGATAATTGTCCAGTATTCTGTTTGAAGGGGAATCTACAAAACTGAAACTAATAAACAAACTCTACCATCATAATCACTTATCCCAAAGAAAGAAACTAAGCTTTTTAGAGCATTGAAACATTTTTATTTTTGTCGATTAGAATGTTATTATACATATAAAAATGAATATTGTGATATGTATTCACATTCTTTTCAGTTAATGAAATTCTACATTAAATTATATTTTCGTCTGCCCAAAGCAGCAGATATGTCACTGTACTTGAGAACACCAATCAAGACAAAAATATTGAATATCTTCGTTTTTTGCAGGCTGGTGAAGCAAACTTAATTGCCTTGTCTGAAAAGTTGCACGAGCAGGTTTTGAAAGGTGATGGCCATGTGCTGGACACCATACGTCGCGCTTGTGACGATCATCAAACAATTGCGCTTTTGAGCACGAATTTCCTGCCCGTCTTCCTCCGCCATTCGCCGTGCGTCGTGAAGGCGCTCCCGTCCTCGCAGATCGCCAACCCCATAGCCATCGCCATGACGAAGGGGCACCCGCATGTCCAGCTAATCAGCTACTAGTAAGTAATGAGTACGGCTGAAACATGCATGCACAGTATGTACATGTCTTATGATTTATTAGTGATTTTGGGTGCGTCAACTGCTAATGCCATTAGTCCCGCAAGTGTAGTTCATGTGTTTATCGCGGGCGGCTACTATGATATTTCCCCGTTGGATGACGACATCCGGCGCTGACCTACGCGTCGATTTATCAGATATTTCCCAGCCAGGGAGAGACCTGGTTGGGGAAATTCCCGCAAGCCGGCAGCAAAGCTCTCCCCCCGGCAGAGAAACACCCCAGCCGGGACTAGCTCTAAATACCTGACTGGTCTCCGAACATGTGTGAAATTAAAGTGCATGTAAGTGTGTGTAAGTAAGGAGTGAAGGTAGGACAAGGAAGAGAAAGGAAAGATCGCGCGCGGTCCGTCGCCCATTTGTTAGGGTACTCCTCCGTCATTCGCCTGATGTTGATCGAAGAAAGAATCGGCCGCTAGGATACTCTTACACGCAGCGGTTGAATTCGGCCTAGGTATCTAGCTAGTGCCGAAAATCCTGCCACCGACTCAGCTCGAACCCAACGGTCTTACTGCACTGCACCGGCATCAATTGATGTCAATTTTTCTTTTATTTCGATAACTTAAGTACTCTGCAATAAGTACGAAAGGGCTCAACGATCTTATGTCCAATTTAACATTATCCCTACCAAAAGTTTAAAGAAAAATTGGAAATGTTTCCGAGAAAATCTATTGTTTGTTATATTTATTATTGGTCATATTGCACGCAATATAGCACGAAAACTAATAAAATTTTCAAAAAATGTGCACGACCTTAATGAAAGATCCAACTTTAGACAAAAAATTTCATTTGAAGAAAAAATATATATGCCTTGGGGGATTTCTGATATGTCACAAGATAATGTGATAGAACTATTGAAGTACTTTTTTCTATTGTAGTTTTATTTAGTTCTTTTATAGTTTTATACCGTTTATAATCTACTTTGTTCTTTTCCTATTTTCGCGAGAAAATAGTGATTTTAAACTGCGTGCAAGCACCTTACATTTACCCGGACTCAGTACATTATCTCGGTGGCAGGTGCATGTATCATGAGATCACCATTTAGCTAGATCCTATTTTTATCACGTATGATAAGGGGTATGGAAGATGAAATTATGAAGGTAGTGAAGGGTGAAAGGACGACACACGTATACATACATACGCACCCGTACATGATAACACACATTTTCGAAGAGGGACTCGAACCTGCGATATCCTGGACATCCAATATGTGTGTTATCATGTTCTGGATCATAACTGCCTAAACGATCTCGGCCATTCTTACTCCTTTAATTACATAAAGAATATTTTCTTCCCGAAATAATATTATTCCCTAGAAGACTGCGATTTCTCTAGACTCAAGGGACACATTTGTACCTATTACTGCTTCATTGGATGGCCTCCCGCAGTGACAAGCATTCATAAGGCACCGGAAATCCACGTTGAAATTGACTCACTGCCGTGGTAAATTTGAAGCGTAAGCGAAGCTTGTACTTTTATTCGAAGGTTACCTTTTATATTTCGGGATTTGGCAACCCTAGTGTTGCAATCTGGCAACTGACAGCTCTATTGTAAAGTTGGACGTTTTGAGGTTATACGCAATCAGAACGTATTGACATATGGGCGCTATTTGTGTTGTTTACAGTAACTTTAAAGGTTCATCTTGGCCCAAAAATAGATTTAAATCGTGAACATTTTCGTGCGATTACTTTTTACAACCTTCGATGTGGATTCACTTAGCAACAGTGCATGGATGAACTTAATTCAATTTTTGGCGATGAAGCTTCATCAAGGACCAATGTTTATCGATGGTATGGTGGAATTCAATCGTGGTCGTAGTTCACTCCAAGTCGAATGTTGTGACGGTCGTCCAAATCAGTTGTTCCGAAAACCATTGAAGCTGGGCGTGAACTGGGTATTGCAAGATCGTCATGTGGACCTATCGTGAGATTGAGACAACCTTAAGGCATTAGTGAGACAGCATACATTTATATTGCATGAACATTTGACTGTCAAAAAAATGTTCGAGGTGGATCCACACAATTTGTCAATCGCTCAAAAAAGGCTCGTGTCGATTAGTCGAAGAAATGCTCAAAAAATACGATCGGGTGCTTCGAAACGCGTCTATGACGTCGTGACAAATGATGAATTGTGGATTTACGCGTATGAGCCCGAAAGTAAACAGCAGTCGACTGTATGGGTGTTTCAATATGGGCAAAATCAAAAAAAGTTGTTCGCGCACGAAGCATTCCAAACAGATGGACGCCTGTTTTTTCGGAAAAACTGGACATGTCGCACTATACCTAGAACAACGCAGAACAGTCAATTCTGAGTTGTACACAACGATTTGTTTGCCAGCTGTCATCCAAGAAATCAGGAAAACAAACCGCCAAAGACGGATCACTCTTCACCACGACAATGCGAACTCTCAACACATCGGCTCAAACAACTGAATTTTGAGCACCAAACATCGATTTGATGAGTCATCCGGCATATAGTCCTGATTGGTACTATGCTTTTTTATTTCGGTAGTAAAAACGAACGGAGAGGTCAACGTTTTTCGATACTGAAGAAAGCGGTTTGCTGCATTTGGAAATGCATGTTTTGGGAGCACCTCAATCAGCGTGGCAAAGGGGCTCCGGAACATTGGTTTCAAACGCATGCAAAGTGTATAGATCTTCATGGGAAATATTTAAAAACAATAAAGTGGATTTTTTGTGATTAATATTAGTTTTTTGTTCTCCAATTTGAAATATAAAGGCATCCCTCGTATGTGCTCGGAGCCAGAATCTCTCAGAATTGAATCTCAGTAGCCTTAAAACATAATAGGACAACTCGATACCGGGTAATAGGATTTAGCAACTGTCCAAGGTTTACAATTACTAAAGCAGTTTAGTGCCACGCCAGTGACCGGGAATCGCGCACCGATACACGTCACAAACAGATAAAACTGCATGACATAATGCGAATTCGAGCAAGGAACAAAGGTTCAAGCAGCTAGGTGAATATGTCTGAAACTGCTGCGGCACACCGTCATTATTTCGTGACTTAATATACATGTCTTCAAATTCATCAATATTTTCCTAATTATTTCTCCTGTCCGTTCTTTGTTTCGTCTGCTGTCATGAAACGTCTTTGTTTACATCTTTTGTTTGTAGTATTTCGGCGCATGCGTCGCCGGGCGTGCTGGCACGCGTGTTTGCGCAGCACTGGCCTTATCGGCCCCAGCGCCAGACGAGGTTCTCTCAGCGGCCGGCGCTGGGGGACGTTGGCGGCCCGTCTTTCCTGCCTATCGCCGCCGCGCGCTGCTGGCGCTGCTTATGCCTGGCCTCGAACCGGCTGGGGGACTCGAGCATCCCAACTAACGAGCCAACGACAATACGCATTTCTCCGATATCTCTTGAAGCCGGCACTGGCTCGACGCAAGACGAGGCTCGCAGCATGCCTGGGGGACGTGGCGCCGTGTTCCCCGCCTTCGCGCCGGCGCGCTTGCTGGCGCCTGCTTATCCTGGCCCTCGAACGCCGCTGGGGGTCGCACCCACGCATACGGCCACGACAATCGCATTTCTCCATACTTGAAGCGCACTGGCCCTAGCGCAAGACGAGGCCTCGCAGCATGCCCTGGGGGCGTGGCGCCGTGTTCCTCGCCTTCGCCGCCGCGCGCTGCTGGCGCTGCTTATCCTGTCCTCGAACGCCGCTGCCGCGGCTGCGGTTACCCCAGCCACGGGGCCCCCCCCCAACGACTCGCATTTCTCGATATCTCTTGAAGCGACTGGCTCAGCGCCAGAAGAAGAGGCCCTGCAGCAAACTGCCTTGGGGGGACGTGCGCCCGTGTTTTCCCGCCTTCGCCGCCGGGCGCTGCTGGCGCTGCTTATCCTGGCCTCAAACGCCGCTAGGGCGCACGCCAGCAGCTAACGACATCCTATTTCCCGATTATCTGCTTGAAGCCGCACTGGCTCGCAGCGCAAAGAGAGGCTCGCAGCATGCCTGGGGACGTGGCGCCCGTGTTCCACGCCTTCGCCGCCGTGCGCGCTGCGGCGCTGCTTATCCTGGCCCTCGAACGGCCGAGCCTGGGGGCTGCGCACCACGCGAACGGCACGACATCCCTATTTCCCCGTATCTCTTGAAGCGCACTGGCTCCAGCGCCAGCACGAGGCTGCAAGCATGCTGGGGGACGTGGCGCCCGTGTTTCCCCGCCTTCGCGGCCGGCCGCGCTGCTGGGCGCTGCTTATCCTGGCTTCGAACGCCGCTTGGGCTCGCACCAACGCAAGGCCCACGACATCGCATTTCTTCCGTATATCTCTTGAAGCCGCACTGGCTTCAGCGCAAGACGAGCCTCGCAAGATGCATGGGGACGTGGCGCCGTGTTCCCGCCTTCGCCGCCGGCGCGCAGCTGGCGCTGCTTAATCCTGGCCTCGACCGCCGCCTCGGGGGCTCGCACCCAACGCAACGACCAACGAATCCTATTTCCCCCGTATCTCTTGAAGCGAACTGGCTCCAGCGCCAGACGAGACCGTCGAGCAATGCTGGGGGACGTGGCGCCCGTGTTCCCCGCCTTCGCCGCCGGCGCGCTGCTGGCGCTGCTTTATCTGGCCCTCGACGCCGCCTGGGGCTCGCACCCAGCAACGACCACGACATCCCTATTTCCCGATAATCTCTTGCAGCCGCCACTGGCTTCCGCGGCCAAGACGAGACCTCGCCAGCATGCCTGGGGGACGTGGCGCCGTGTTCCCGCCTTTTCGCCGCGGCGCGCTGGCCTGGCGCTGCTTTCCTGGCCCGCGAACGCGCTGGGGCGCTCGCCCCAACGCAACGGCAACGACATCCTATTTCCCCGATATCTCTTGAAGCCGCACTGGTCCAGCGCAAGACGAGGCCTTTGCAGCAATGCCTGGGGGACGTGGCGCCCGTGTTCCTGCGCCTTCGCCGCGGCGGCGTGCTGGCGCTGCTTATCCTGTCCTCGACGCCGCCATAGGGCTCGCACAGGCCAACGCAACGGCAACGACATCCGCATTTATTCCCGATATCCTCTTTGAAGCGCCACTGGCTCCAGCGCCAAGACGAGGCTTGCAGCCATGCTGGGGGACGTGGCGGCCCTGTGTTCCCGCTTTCGCCGCCGGCGCGCTGCTGGCGCTGCTTTTCTGGCCTGAACGCCGCCTGGGGGTCGCACCCAAACGCAGCGGCAACGACATCCGCATTTCTCCGATATCTCTTGAAGGCGCAATGGCTCCAGCGCCAAGACGAGGCCTCGCAGCATGCCTGGGGGACGTGGTGGCGTGTTTCCGCTTCCGCCGCGCGCCGTGCTGGCGCTGCTTATCTTGGCCCTCGACGCCGACTGGGGGCTGCACCAACGCAGGCAACGACATCCCTAATTTCCCCGATATTCTTGAAGCCGCACTGGCTTCCAGCGCCAAGACGGAGGCCTCGCAGCATGCCTGGGGGACGTGGCGCCGTGTTCCCGCTTCGCGCCGGCGCGCTGCTGCGCTGCTTATCCTGGCCCTCGAACGCGCTGGGGGCTCGCACCCAACGCAAGGCCAACGACATCCTATTTCTCCCCGATATCCTCTTGAAGCAGCATGGCTCCAGCGCTAAGGACGAGGCCTCGCAGCATGCCTGGGGGACGTGGCGCCGTGGTTCCTTCGCTTCGCCGCCGGCGCGCTGGCTGGCGCTGCTTATTCTGGCCCTCGAAACGCCGCATGGGGGCTGCACCCAACACACGGCCCACGACATCCGCTTTTTTCTCGATATCCTCTTGAAGCGCACTGGCTCAGCGCCAAGAGAGGCCTCGCAGCATGCCTGGGGGACGTGGCGCCCGTGTTCGCGCCTTCGCGCCGGCGCGCTGCTGGCGCTGCTTTCTGGCCTCGCACGCCGCCGTGGGGTCGCACCCAACGCAACGGCCAACGACATCCGCAATGTTCTCGATATCTCTTTGAAGCGCACTGGCTGCCAGCGCGCAAGACGAGGCTCGCGCATGCCTGGGGGGACGTGGCGCCGTGTTCCCCGCTTCGCCGCCGCGCCGCTGCTGGCGCTGCTTATCCTGGCACTGCGAACGCCGCCTGGGGGCTCGCACCCAACGCAACGGCCAACGACATCCGCTATTTCCCCTCGATATCTTTGAAGCCGCCTGGGCTCAGGCGCCAAGAGAGGCTCGCAGCATGCTGTGGGACGTGGCGCCGTGTTCCTCGCTTCGCCGCGGCGCGCTGCTGGCGCTGCTTAATTCTGGCCTCTGAACGCCGCTGGGGCTCGCAACCCACAGCAACGGCCACGACATCCGTTTTCTCCGATATCTCTTGAAGCTCGCAACTGGCTCCAGCGCCAAGGACGTAGGCCTCAGCAGCATGCTGGGGACTTGGCGCCCGTGTTCCCGCCTTCGCGGCGGCCGCGGTTGCTGGCGCTGCTTATCCTGGCGCCTCGAACGCGCCTGGGGTCTGCGGCACTCCAACGCAAACGTACAACGACATCCCTATTTCCCGATATCTCTTGAAGCCGTCACTGGCTTCCGCGCAAGACGAGGCCTCGCAGCATGCCTGGGGGACGTGGGCCCGTGTTCCCGCCTTAGCGCGCGCGCTGCTGCGCTGCTTATCCTGGCCTTCGAACGCGCCTGGGGTGCGCACCCAACGCAACGGGCCAACGACATCCTATTTCGCCGATATCTTGAAGCCGTCACTGGCTCCAGCGCGCAAGACGAGGCCTCGCAGCATGCCTGGGGGATGGCGCCCGTGGTACCCGCTTCTGCCGCGGCCGCGTTGCTGGCGCTGCTTATCCTGGACCTCGAAGCCGCTGGGGGTCGCACCACGCAAACGGCCAACGACATCACTATTTCCGATATCTCTTAAGCGCTGGCTTGCCAGCGCCAAGACGAGGCCTGCAAGCATTGCCTGGGGGACGTGGCGCCGTGTTCCTCGCCTTCGCCCGGGCGCGCTGCTGGCGCTGCTTATTCTGGCCCTCGAACGCCGCCTGGGGCTCGCCCAGCAAAAGGCCAACGACATCCGCTTTTCTCGTTCTCTTGAAGCGCACTGGCTCCAGCGCCAAGACGAGGCGCAGCATGGCTGGGGGACGTGGTCGCCCGTGTTCCCGCTTCGCGCCGGCGCGCTGCTGGCGCTGCTTATCCTGGCCGCTCGAACGCCGCCTTGGGGGCTCTCGCACCAACGCACGGCCAAACGACATCCCGCATTTCTCGATATCTCTTGAAGCCGCACTGGCTCCAGCGCCAAGACGAGGCCGTGGAAGATGCTGGGGACGTGGCGCCGTGTTCCCGCTTGCCCGCCGGCGCGCTGCTGGCGCTGCTTATCTGGCCTTCGAACGCCGCCTGGGGGCTGGCGCACCAACGCAACCGCAACGACAATCCCATTCTCGATATTGCTTGAGCGCACTGGCTCAGCGCCAAGACGAGGCCTCGCAGCATCCTGGGGGACGTGCGCCCGTGTTCCCCGCCTTCCGCCGCGGCGCGCTGCTGGCGCTGCTTATCTGGGCCTCGAACGCGCCTGGGGCTCGCACCAACGCAACGACCAACGACAATATCCCTATTTCCCTCGATATCTCTGGACGCAACTGGCTCCAGCGCCAAGGACGAGGCCTCGCAGCATGCCTGGGGGACGTGGCGCCGTGTTCTCGCCTTCGCCGGCCGGCGTCGCAGCTGGCGCTGCTTAATCCTGTCCGCTCGAACGCCGCTGGGGGCTCGCACAACGCAACGGCAACGACATCGCATTTCTCCGATATCTCTTGAAGCCGCACTGGCCTCCAAAGCGCCAAAAGACGAGCTTCGCAGCATTGCCGGGGGACGTGCGCCGCGTGTTTCCCCGCTTCGCCGCGGCGCGCGTCGCTGGCGCTGCTATCCTGGCCCTCGAACGCCGCTGGGGGGGGGGGGCCTCGCACCCAAACGCAACGCCACACATCCCTATTTTCGCGATATCTCTTGAAGCCGCAACTGGCTCCAGCGCCAAGACGAGCCTCGCACAGATGCCTGAGGGACGTGCGCCGCTGTGCTTCCTCGCTTCGCGCGTATCGCTGCTGGCGCTGCTTATTCTGCCCTCGAACCCGCTGGGGGCTCGCACCAACGCAACGGCCAAGACATCCCTATATTCCCGAATTCTCTTGAAGCCGCACTGGCTCAGCGCCAAGACGGAGGCCCTCGCAGCATGCCTGGGGGACGTGGCGCCCGTTGTTCTCGCCTTCGCCGCCGGCGCGGAGACTGCGCTGCTTATCCTGGCGCTTTCGAACGCCGCCTTGGGGCTCGCACCAAGCAAGGCAACTCAAATCCGCATTCTCCATATTTTGAAGCCGCACTGGCTCCAGCGCAAGACCGAGGCTTCGCCAGCATGCCTGAGGGGACGTGCGGCGCCGTTGTTCCCCGCCTTTCGCCGCCGGCCGCCTGTGGCGCTGCTTATCCTTGCCCTCGAACGCCGCCTGGGGGCTTCGCACCAACGCACGGCCAACGAATCCGCATTTCTCCGATATCTCTTGAAGCGCACTGGCTCCAGCGCCACAGAGAGGGCCTGCGCAGCATGCCTGGGGGAGCGTGGCGCCCGTGTTTCCCGCCTCGCCGCCGGCGCGCTGGCTGGCGCTGCTTAATCCTGGCCTCGAACGCCCTGGGGGCTGCGCACCAAGCAACGGCAAACGACATCCCTATTTCCCGATATCTTCTTGAAGCCGCACTGGCTCCAGGCCAAGACGAGGCCTCGCAGCATGCCTGTGGGACCGTGGCGCCCGTGTCCTCGCCTTCGCGCAGGCGGCGCGCTGCTGGCGCTGCTTAATTCTGGCCTCGACGCGCCTGGGGCTCGCACCCAACGCAACCGGCCAACGACTATCCTATTTCCCGATATCTCTTGAAAGCCGCCTGCTCCACGCGCAGACGAGGCCTCGCAGCATGCCTGTGGGACGTGGGCGCCCGTGTTTCCTCGCCTTCGCCGCCGCGTACTGCTGGCCCTCAATGCCCAATGTGACTACCTCAATGCAAACGGAAAGAAGTCACAATCTTTTGAATATAACATTAAACATACCTGTGTTGAGATTTATAACTGGTTTGCCGCTGATTGGGCAAGGCATGCATGAAAATTGGGCAGTTCTCATTTTCATTGAAATCAGTACATTGTAGAAAATTGCAAAAATTTGAAATAATGCTACGACGTATGTGCCGTTGTAGCTCCATTGGTCTTGCCTACCATTAGGTCACAGATTCGGGATTTCAACAACGCAATAGTTTAGCTGCTTGGCACTAAATGGTGTAATTGACTGATATTTACGATTTAATTCATCAATTCAGGGGATTGCCTGTGTACAGAAAAATGAAGTGGGAATATATATTTATATATATATATTATACATATATATATATATTGTCAAATGTCTCTATAAATTGAATATTCGTCTTGTATCAACACATTGTCCATGTAGGTTGTGGTGGGCATATTTATTCAATTATGAACTAATTTTGGGTATATGTATCTACAGAATTTGGAATTTTACAGTCTTCTTCTGCAATAGAGTGGTACATGTTGTACATAAACTCATATTTTTCAGAAAAATGTCTAGAAAGTGTAGATTTTTCTGAAATAATGTCTCCTGCAATGGCATGCACAGCTTAGTAAATTTTCTATACAGGTTTTTCCTTTGCCAGAAACCTGACTTAAAGTTAACAGTCGTAGAGTGTATTTGAAAGTATGTGGAAATAAAGTGGAATATGTGTTGTGTAAAAATTGGACAAGGGAGGGATGTTAAGGCCAAGTGGATCGAAAGCACTCAGTATTAAATTGAAATCAATAAATTTACTTTTGACATTTCGTCGATATAACTTTCACCCCCTTTAGTGCTGAAATTCATAGAATTCGTGCTTTGTAACAATGAGATTCTGATAGTATAATCAAATAAATAACATTTATTATTTCTGAATTCTAACCAGAATATGTGAGGTCACATTTCTATTACTAAGTCATATAGTGACCACTGTAATTCCCATTGGTGATTTAACTTTGGTGTTAACGGTAGAGAAACTCCAAAATTTACTTCCAATTTGTTGCTTTTTATTTATAAAGGTTCAGTGAAGAAATCAAACTTACATCTTTATTCTTTCAAAAAAATAATAAAAAAACAAAAAATAAAACCTATGATCCTCTTGCGAGCGTACTCGAAGAAGAAACAAGACATTCCCTATAAACAATCGCCTTCACCATGCACACTCTACGCCAAAATTTGCCGTAAAAAGTGCTAAAATATTTCTGCAATAAAAAATTGGTTGATCGATACACAGTTGTTGACTTAATCCACGCCGAAACTCGTAGAAAATCATCGCCTAGCAATGTTCCCAAGTCAACTCCATTCCTTGACCGACAATTTTCAAATTACAGAACAATACAATTCGCGTCCGTAATACACAAAGTCTGCGGTCTGTATAATCATAAAAAAGGCCAACAATGTTTACGGCAGATGTTGCCTGGCAAAACCAGTATTACCAATTCCGGAAACTAATAGTTACCTATGTAGGATTACAATATTGCACGACCGTTATAAATACTAATTCTAGAAGTATTACTCGCGCAGCTTTTCTTGAACGATTGAAGAAATGCGGGTAGAGTGGGGGTATTAGTTACGAAATTGGCCAAAAGATTTTATGAAGCAATGCCAATTCAGTCATGCCTTCATAACTTTCTCAATAATTTGCGTTCCAACTTTCTCAGAAATTCGAGGTATCTCCTGTAATGGATCTTCATCTACTTCGTTCATTTCTTTAGATTTTTAGGAGAAAATCACAGAAGTTCTCTTCAACAGAAAATAGTTTATATTTCGCGCCAGTGACGATGTTTGTGGAATGTTGTCATCAGAGCTCACTGCGAGTCTGTGCTTTCAAGTGTTTATTGTGCCAGAGAAGGGGGAGCAAGGTCATCGTTCAAGAAAAGTTGCACGATTAATATGTGCCATTGTAGCACCACTAGATTTGGTACATAAATGGCCGGATTAGTTAGAGCAGTGTAAGATGATTGTAATACTGTGTTCATTATTATCATAAGAATTTTGAGGGCAGAATTCTTGCAGATGAAGATGATCAAGTGCAATCTAGTTTAAAAGCGAGAACATGTATGTTTGTGTGAGCTACGAAAACATTAAAAACATTGGAGTGATTGGTTTAGGAATACTTTTAAGTGGCCAGGAATACAAAATAGGGTAGTTGAGACACAAACGATTACTCCAAAATGTATTGTTTTTAGGTATATTTGACTTGAAGGTGTTCCCAAAGCACATTGGCAACATTGTTGCGAGGTGACACAGGGAGGAACCCAACTGAACCGGATGGAGCTGTTGAAGCAGGAGGAGCCGGGAGGGCAAGCAGAGTGGGTGGGGTGCAAAGAGAAAGTGGTGCGGAAGGATATCAAGGAGCAGAATGAGCAGAAAGAGCTGGAGAAGTGGAAGAAGCGAACATAGCGGGAGCAGCGAAGAAAGAGAGAACGAGAAAACTACTGCGAAATAAGAGGGAGCAGCGGGTGGAGCGGAAAAAGAACAGAGAGAGTGGAAGAGACCGAATCACTTAATATAGCAGGCCGAATAACGCGTGCGGGCGAAGCGTAAGGGTCCAACAAGGCTGTTGGAGAGACGACTGTGATCAATACATATTCGAGAACGCAGGGAAATTAAATAGATAGATAGAAACGGGTAATTAAATAGGTAGAAATCGATAGATTATTTTCTAAGATTAGTGTGTCAAACAGCTAATGCTCCAGATGATGCGAATGGGATTTCTATTTGACCATTTCACCTTCAAAATGCATTAATGAATTACATAATTATATAACAGTTATACAATGGTAAAACGTATTAAATTATAATTAATTTAACGATTGAAATATTTACTTCAAGACACGGATATCCTGGAGGGAAGAATAATTCAGAGAAAATTGTCTTGCCAGTTTACTTTTTCCATATGAAATGTTCAACATTGCCAATATTATAAGAGAAAGACATTCCTTCCACGTTTCATGTAAACATAAAAATAAAGGCAAATGTACTAATTAATTCAATAGGTAAACTAATGGACCATCAAGGTAAATCCTATTAAATAATTTTACAACCAACAGTCATATATTTCCAAAAATTACACATTTTAAATTTAGTGCCTTAAATGTCGGTAATATCTGAATAACAATTAAGTTCAGTCTCACAAATGTGAGTAAAATTTGAGAAATAGTTTATTTTATTTTGCGTGTACAGATGTTTCATATTCTGGTAATTATTATTGGTTCCTTGACTACACACAACAGAATCAGTGCCTTCTGTAAACTGAATGAAAATTCCAACGTCATCTTCGGACGTTTAGTTCCCGAGATGATACAGCATCTACATGAGCATAAAAAACACGTCCATTCATCGGAGGCTGGAGGTTTGGTGGCTCTCCCCCGGTGGCCAGCCGAGGAGAGGCGCGGCGCCGGGCGAGAGTGGCCGACGCGTGGACGGCCGTCTCTGTTGCGGAGGGGCGCGTGCCCGAGTTGGGCCGCCCACGCATCGCGCTGCTGCTGGCGGCCCGCCGCGCCCCGCGCTGGCCGAGCAGCGCCGCCGCTGCGCTGCAGCGCCTGCTGCACGCCAGAGGCCTGCGCGCGGCGGCGGGCGGCGGGCGCGTTGGCAGCGGCTGCGCTTGCCAAGCCAAACAAGCCGCGGCCGGCGGCGCTGCTGCCCGCGGGCGCGGCGGGGCGCGCGCCTTCTCCGCCAGCTGCAGCCTTCTCCTTGTGCGTGTGCGATGGTGCTGCGTTGGCGCGTGGCGCCACCCGCCGCCTGCTGGGCGCGCGCGCCCTGCTGCTTCGACAGCGCGCTGCGCTGGCGCAGTGGCGTGTTGGTGGGCGGGCAGTGGAACGTGGAGGTGCGGCTGGCCGAGGCGTTGGCGGCGCGCGGGCGCAGGCCGGCCGCTGGAGCTGCGCCGCTGGGCGCGTGGTGGCCTGGGCGGGGGCGGGGGCGGGGGCAGGGGCCTGCGCCGCCGCCGCGCCCGCCCTCGCGCCGCCGCCGCCTGCGCTTAAGGAGGACCTCAGGGGCGTCACTTCAGGGCCTCTCGGGGATATTGTAAGTCTCTTGTGTAGTAAATTTGACAATCGATTTCTTTTCTAATACGAAATTTTGGTTTCAGTTCCTTTTCTCGCCAAAGGAAGCATGCCACTGATGAGTTTTTTACTCCCGGATATACGACGAGATTTGAGCATACTGGAAACTTTCACATTCACGTAATGAAATAATTATTTATGTATTCAACAATATTTTCAACTTAATATCTTTAAACTTATCTTAATTTACCCATATCGTTTTAATTTAATTTTCTGAACTGCTTGAAAAAAAAATGATGTTGACATTATGCGGAAATATTCTGTTCCTGGGTTTTTGATACAAAAATTTAAAAAAAACGGTTTTTAAAACATCTTAAAAACGTCTTATATCCATTCTGTCAGTAAACGATTGCGTGTTCAAGAATTTTTAAAATTCAGGACCGATCAGCCTAAAAATATAGTATTTGACATTTTGATCCGTTTCTATAATTTAGGTACGTGTCTGGAGTTCGGTGAATGGCTCTTTATTACAGTTCACGTTTACAAAGAAGTTATTAATTGTCACGATAAATCAGAAAAACAAACTTGCTGCCGGTGACTGAACAATATGTATACATATATTAAAACATTATTTTATTGAAAAATGATGGAATGTGGAAAAAAGATAGAAACCACCACATGTAGCTTAATAATTTATTAATGGAAACAACACATTGGTGAAATGCTCGAATATACACGCTTTCCGATGTACATTTCTTTGACCCTGTATTGTTATTCCATTCACTGCAAAAAAAATATAAACTTCCTGGCTACAAACGTTGTTAATATTTCTTTCTCTCTTCATTAATCTGAAACTTTTGTATTACTTTACTATATATTATATTATATATTATAGTATATATATATATATATAATATTGTGACGTTAACCTGGGAAACGGTACTTTCACGACAAATAAAATAATCTAAAGGACGGATACATTTTCGTGAATGGTGTCTCCAGGGGAATTGACCGCTGCCATTAGAAGAATATTTACAGATGCAAAGTGTTACAATTGGAGGTTTAATAATTAACAAACTATATACATTAAGTTTTTACAATTCGCAGTGCGCGAAGCCTTTTAAATAGGTTGTGCACGTAGCTAACGCTACCTTTGAAGCTTCCGATGTCCACCGTCTGGACTGGAGGCGAGCGTAGGCCGCGTGCAACGGCGGCGCCGCGATCGGGCAAACTCGCTCACGTCCCGAAGGTTGTCCGGGAAGCCGATGTTCGGCGTGTTGGTTCCGTGTACTGGCCCAGCACTCAAGGGCATCGCCGGCAGCCCCGAATTACAGCCGTTCTCCTCCAATTCCCCATACGATTGTTCGCACCGGTGCGGGCCGCCTGTTGATTACATTCCAAAGGGACATGAATTGCATGTCTATCGATCACTTAAATTCCACTGTTACCTGTTTTCACGAATTTCGGTCCTTGGTTCGCACTACTGTTTCTTCTAATTATCTGATTAATTATTTTAGCCACCTCTAATCTCCCAGCTCAATAACTAATCAGGTTCCACACTGTTGGTAATTTCACCACCACATTTGTTTGGGGCATCAACAGCATCCGCATTGCGCCCGCGGCTTTTCTCCGTCTATATCTTCACCCGCACTAGCGGCCCGCCTCTCGCACTATTACACGGCACTCGTGGCGTCCAGTTCGTTACTAACTAACCGTCACTCCGCGTTCGCGGCACCTGCCCGGTTTGACGTTGGTGGCAGTCGGTGGCGGCGGCGGCACTGCGCTGATTCGAATCAGCGTTTCTCTTCTTATAATTAATAACCAGTTTTGCTAATATTATGTAGGAGAAACGTTCTTCGTTTCATCAACCCTCCCCCCTTTTTTACGGATTTTTCTGCCAAGAAGATCCAATCACTTAAATAATCCCAAGTGCACTTATAAACTATCTTATACAATCTGTAGTCATTCAAAGTACAATAATTTTATCTCAAATCGAATTGTACATGATTAACTTGTATACTAGGACATATGTTTATCTTACCCTTACAACAGAACTTTCTTATGAACTAAATATGTATTAAACATTACAACAAAATGATTCTTCCAAAATACTGTAATAAATACAAACTTCAGTTTAGGCTAACATAAATACAACTTAATAAATCATTTCTCTATTCTCTATACAACTAAATTGATTTACTTTTGCCTAGTTTTAACATATTGTTCTCACGTGTAGAACACGGGTTCTCAGATTATTGAAAATGTATAATGTCCTACCACCTTCTTGCCTATTCGTTTCACTAATCTAGCCATCAATTACTGATACAACATAAGCCCCCATACCAAAATCACTACTGTTCTGTTTGTACATGCAAGTTTTTGTGGAAGTCGCGGATGTGCTATGAAGCAGCTGTTGTAAGACATTTCTTTTTAATTTGTCAGATGCTTCCGGTATGTGGCGTCCCATTTCCATTTACGGCCACTTTTCAATAATTGGGTAAAATGGAGTATAACACCTCCGCAAATCGCGGGGCAAAAATCTGCTAATAATTACACGTCCCAATTAAGTCGACGTACTTGTTTCACAGTTTTCAGTGCGTATGGTTCTTAATTTGTTCGATAGTTTCTGGTTTCATCATTCTGATTCCTTCCAGTTGAAGATTACATACCCAAGAACTCTATCTTCTTAGTAAACCATGTTACTTCGTGAGCATTTATACCAAATTATTTTCTGATGTAGTATCTTGAATTAGTTCCGCAAATCTTGACAATGTTGCTCGATAGATCTTGCTGCAGTACTATTCGTCGACGTAACGTTGTGACTGGTTTTGCAATTTCCTTGTAGTATTTTCTATCCACGCACCCGAAATCAATTGCTGCTCCACTATTCTTAATCCAAACGGTACTCTCAGAAAACGAGCAAATTCCTTCAAACGAAAAACCTGTGTACTTTTTGTCTTACTTCCGCCACTTGCATCTGCCAATATGCTTTTCTTGAAATCGCGTTACTTGAAAAATCAAGCTTTCCTCCAAATCTCAGTAAACGCTTCTTCATACAATTGGGGCGTCCCTATATTGGTATTGTCACTTGCATTCAATCGCGCAGCGTCTAAACACACCGCGTTCCACCATCTTTCTTTTTCACGATTACGTGGGTTCGTGTATAGATGTTCTGTGCCCGTTTTTATGATTTGCCGTCTTCCACCATTGATGGCGAGCAACTCTGTCACGTTCCTTTTTTAGTGCTACCGTATAGCGGTAGTTTCGCTGTCGAAAGCGGGTATAATCAGTAGTTCTTTTTAATGCGGAACTTGAAATCTTTATTTGGATTCATGGCTTCTTTTGCAAACACCCTTTTTGTTTTCTATTAATAAATTTATAATTCATCTTTCTGTTGTGCGTTGATACCTCTTATCTTGCTCAACCTGCTGGCTTTAATCTGTCTTCTATCATCTCCTCTGATAATATTCCCTACATACTTTCATGCTCTCCTCCATTCCCAGATCAATCTCTATAGCCTGGCTCCCTAACTCTACCACTTGACGTTGCAGATCGATAACCGCTTCGGTTGCTTCAGAAGGAAAGGTCTTTTCCTATATTCATTGGATATAATAATTTCTTCACTACCAAGGCTACCACTTCATATTTGGACTGCATCGTGGCCGCTAAACATTATTTGTTTCGTGATAGGGCTCGACTTTGTCTGGTTGGTCCTATCACGTATGGCCCGAATTCATCGGCAAACAAACTTACTTGTTTTCCCTTCGCGATTAATTCTTCATACACCTCTTCGACATACTGTTGTCGTGCATCCTGTAGTTACTAATGCTTTCTATTTCCACTCCCTCACATTCTACCTTGATTGTGGACACTTTCTGATTCTAATCTCCGAACTTTTACGTCTTCTGCCACGGATTGTTGGCGTCGGTTATGTCACTGGTGAATGGTGTTGATAGGGACACGTTAAAGATTCGTTCACTGGTCCGCGATGGGGCCCACCTTTCACCACGGACTCTATTGGTTTAAATGACTTCCCTGTCCTCTACTCGTACGGGTCGCGATGACTGGTCGTGCGCTCCCCCCTCCACTTCTAACTGCCTCCGTGCGATTTGAAATCTGTCCACTCCATTTTGGTCTCTGACTTCTCGGTATCTGGTTGCCAAATCTGTCTCCACCTCTTCCGCGTCGATTCCACTGGTTGCCTATTCTATCACATTCCTTGCCCCTGGAACTTTGCTCCATTCTTAACGATATTTACGTTGCCCTCATTTCTATTCTTTGGAGCGCCTGCGAACGTAAGATCATACCCTCCAATACATTCTGAATCTTTCTAAAATCCGATGATTTGCGCTGCCGCAGTAGTTTTCTGCCACATGACGGGAAAATTTGTCGCGTTAATACACAAATAATTTCTTGATCATTCATAGGAGGAGATAAGTTTTATATTTCCAATGATTCGCTGTCTGGCGTATTCCCGTTAAACTTCCATGGAATAATTGTAATGACTGTTCATCAGATTTATCTTAAAATTCATTTGGATTTCTTCGTTTCCAATATCGTTCGGAAAAACGGTCTTTAAATTCCTTCAAGGGATTCCGGAAATACATCAGAAAGTATCTGCCCACGTCCGGGCGTTCCCTCCAAATAAATATAAAAATTGGACTTTACATCTTTCCGATGTGCTTGATCACTCTAAATGTCGTTCTTGCTGCCCCGCATTAAAAGCACATGGGTTTTCTCCTTTCCATCTGCCCGAAATTTAACGACCTTGCTGGGATGTAAAGGGCGCCGTTCACTCGTCTGGCAATCGGCAATACTTTGCACTCTTTCATCTGTTCAACATCGGCTACGTTAGTGCTGAACTTTCTCTTCGCATTCTCGTCATCTCTTTAATTTCTTCTTTGAACGTTATTGCCTTTATTTTTCTTGTATCTTTCTTCCACTCTGCGAAACATCCGTCCACACTTTGACTTGGAAATTCGCTATTTTATCCTCCCATGGTTCTGATTTTCTCTCGAAATTGAGTTCGTGCACTCCTGCAATTTGTCATCCTGTGCGGCGACCTTAGTATCAGTGTTTGATGTATTGGCTTTCAATTCCCCAACCCAATTTACTTAACTGAGACTCTAGTTACCCTCTTCTGCTATCTCAAATCCATCGGAAATCAGTTGTTCATTGAAACCTCCACTCGTTCCGCTATCCTAGACATTTCCTCTGGTCAACTCGATTGTTTATTAAGACATTCTATTTGCCCCTTATTTCATCTCGCAATTTTGCGCCGCTCCCGCTCTTCAGCTTTCCTATCCTGTTCCTTCTAATTTTTTACTCTGTTCCTCTTAATTTCCTATTCGTTCTTCCCCCATTCTTTTCGTTCTTCCAATATCTTCCTATTCTGCTTCTTCTGCGATTCTTTTCTGTTCTTCTAATTTCCTGTGTTCGTTCTTCTGCTATTCTTTTCTGTCCCTCCAATATCTTTTCCTGTTCTGTTCCTCTGCTTTCCTGTTCTGTTCCTCCGCCTTCCTTCTTCTGTTCTTCTACATCTTCATTATCATCTGCATTAAATCTGAATGGGTATCTACCCGGCCCTCCTGAAATCGGTTATCCTGCTTGCCTGGTTCATCGGCGTCGACGTTCAATTTCCACCTTTTCATCAAAACAGTCTCCCGATGTATTCATCTACATCGGCTTCCACTTACACTTCCCTACTTCCAAAAAATTACTTTCCACCAATTCCTTCTCCGTATCATCTATTCTTCATTTCTTCTCATCCTCATCCAAACATTATGCCACGGGCCTCCATCTTTTTATGTTTGAAAGATTACTGTTCGTCCCCAACTAAACCGTGATATTATACGACCGTTTCCACTACTTCTCACTGGTCTTACACTGCAATAATGCTCTTTTGCTATTGTTCTACCGTTTATTAAACAACCTTGTTCTAACACCCCACTATCACTCCGGATCTTCCAATTCATAAATAACATCATCCCCAATTATCATCTAATACACAAATACACTGTTTCTACTAAAAAAAATTTCCACAGTCACATCATACATTTACACAATAATTCCCTGCTAACACATTAACACATGCATAAAATAAAACCAATTACAACTGCGAATAACTTCTTATAAAATTATTCAACGATTCAATTTCAAAGTTGTGCAAGTTCCACTGTACACTTTTTAACATTGTTTGCATATCTTAATTAACTCCCTATGTTGTGACAATAACCACACTCAATTTAGTTTAATATCGTCTTCGAAACTCCATCACCATAATACATTACATTCAAACATGCCCTTTAAACACAATCATTTCAAAGTACTAAGCACATATACCCTCTATATACATTAATATTTATCCTCAATTCCAATTTATTGCACATCATAACTTCCAATGTTTTGTCAAATTCCCTGGAGCCACCATTTCTTAAATACCGAGTCCGATACTGTTCGGGCGCCCAGCTGTGACGTTACCTGGGAAACCGGGTACCTTTCACCGACAAATAAAATAATCTAAAGGACGTTATTTTCGCTTGAATGGGTCTCCATGGGGAATTGACGCTGCATTTAGAAGAATATTTAAAAAGAATTCAATTGTACAAATTGGATGTTTAATAATTAACAAACTATATAATGTTAGGTTTTACAATTCGCAGTGCGCAAGGCCTTTAAATAGTTGTGCACGAGTACGCTACCTCCCTTTGAAGCTTCCGATGTCCAGCCGGCTGCTGGAGGCGAGCGTGCCGCCGTGGCAACGGCGGCCGGCGACGATCGGCAAACTCCGCGCCGTCCCGAAGTTGTCCGGAAGCCGATTTCGGCCGGTTGCGTTTCCGTGTACTGGCCCAGCCACTCAGCGGCATCCCGCCGAGGCAGCCCCGAATTACAGCCGTTCTCCTCAATCCCCATCGATTGTTCGCACGGTGCGGCCCGCTGTTGCATTACATCCAGCGACATGGAGATGCATGTCTATCCGATCACTTAAATTCCACTGTTACTGTTTTTCACGATTCCCGTCCTGGTTTCGCATACTGGTTTCTTCTAATTATCTGATAATTTATTTTAGCACCTCTTAATTTCCCCACTTCAATAAACCATGAATCAGTTCACACTTGTTGGTTAATTTCACCACACATTGGTTTTGGGCATCACAGCCATCCGCATTGCGCCCGCGGCTTCTCCGTCTATATTCTCACCCCGGCACTAGCGGCCCCTCCGCAATATTACACCCGGCACTCCGATGGCGTTCCAGTCGCTTACTAAACTAAACCGTCATCGCGATCGCGACCTGCCCCGGTTTGGACCGTTGGTGGCAGCGTTGGCGGCGGCGTCCACTGCGCTGACTCGAATCAGCGTTTCTCTTCTTATAATTAATAACAGTTTTGCTAATTAATTATGTAGAACGTTCTTCGTTTCAATATATATATATATTCATATTTAAAATCAGGTAGTAATTTTAAATTTAAAAATTCAGTATTAAATTTTCCAACAGCTTTTGCAGCTTCACTTTCAATAATTTCAGAAGTATCTTCCATGTATTTATTATCAGCGTTTGTCAACTCAAATATACCCTCCAAGGTGTCTTATGTTCCGCCGATATCAATATAATACCATTCATCATCTCGCTTACTTGTAAAAGAGAATAAGGTTACCCCAGGATCGATTTCCGGCCGTGGCAAATTATAAATGTCGCTTTACTTAGGAATGTACCAATATCTATTACTGTGTGAGGATGAGAAAGCCCACCCTAAGGTTAAGAAGGTCGGCTAAAGACCTTACCGGGCTGACGAGCCAAGAAAGGACAGCCAATTTAACGAAATTCGCATCTCATCATTTATTTTGCCAAAAAAGGATTATAAAGTTTCGTAATTTTTTTGTAACATATAACTTATACTAAAAACAAATAAACACCTACTATAAGACATTCACTTATCAAGGCTGATTACTAAGTTTATGAATCTTGGTATGTTTAGATTTTCTTATGCAAATTTAGTACCAATCGTATAAGTACAGTAAAATACCGTAATTAACAGCAATTCCCATATGAGAATGTAAAAACTGATTCATTCACATTTGGTACATTTCTTTTATTACGATTAAATAAAGATAAACTTCAATTTAATATTTCTGGTTCTATGGGTTACCAATGTATAATTATAGGCGTCTCAATTATATAAATTATGGTTTATAAAATCAAGTGAATCCACATTAATATACTCGTTGTAACTGACTCTCGTCCAAGGTTTACAAGCATTTTGTGAAGTTATTCTAATATTTCTGGGCAGAACTATTTGGCTGTCCCGAAATTACTCAGATTTTGGAACGCTGCGTGATGATGGAACTTGGCAAGGGATAATGAAGGCTCTGAAACAACGAGAAGCTGACGTCGCAGTTTGTGATATGACCATAACAGTCCGGCGACTAGTTGATGCTGATTTTACAGACACCATCTGCGATCAAAGGTAAAACATTAGCAATTCATGACACATTTGAATGGTTGAGTAATTTCATATTATTCAAAATTACAATATAAGTCTATTCGTTTGCAGTCTTTATCAATAATCAATTTAAAAAGGTGTATAATGTGTTATATCGCCCTTAAACTACTCATGTTGTCAGTGATTATGTTGCATAGGTTCGGTGCCTATATGGGTCTGCCCGCCCGCCGTTCCCTCAAGTGGACGGACTTCTTGACGCCGTTCAGCGCGGCCCTGTGGACAGCCGCTGTCGGCGCAGCCGGGTGCCTGGCGCTGTTCCTGGCCTTTGTGGTGCGGGTGGAGGGGCAGCGACGCGTCACACCCAGAGACGCCTGGCTCTTTGTATCGGCTGCCTTCTGCCAGCAAGGTCTGCTCATCCGAAAGCAAATTGGTTCCTAATCGATTCTTTGATCTCGGGTATTTGGGTGCTCGGAGTGTTAACGCATTTTTGCCGGAGCAGACTGTAGACGACTAATTTCTTGCCGAGCTGAGCTGGTCATTTTTGCCAAGTTTGGACGCTCCATGGGGTTAAATTACGGGGGCGCTAATATGAATTTCCTGCAGCCCTCTAAAAAAATTGAATTTCCCGCTGGCTCAGGCAAGCCAACCAGTTCGTTGCTGCCTCTCCAGGGAGAAGTTAATTTCCCCGTCGAGTGCCTTGTGGGAGCTGTCGCCCTCTGGCTTAACAACGCCAGGGTGCTGTACCCCCACTGCCCCCACCCCCTCTCTCCCCCCTTCCCCTTAGCGGCCGAGAAGGGGTGGGGCCTTGCTTGCTGCCGGTACTTTGCGTGCGAACAGCGGGGAACTATATTCAGTGTGACTGTGATTGTGGCGTGGCGTGGCGATGGACTGCAACTCAACCGTAGGGGAAAAGAACCGCTAAACTTCTTGACCGCCATTGAGTTGAACTAGTAATCGCAGCGTGCTGGGAGGTGCTACTAAAGAATTACTGGACGAATTACTATGTCCTGTGAAAATTTTTTTGCCCCTCAACTATTAGTGCGCCGATGCTGGAGTGAATAGCTCAGGGAATTTTTAGTGTTTACAGCAGATAGTTTTAATTGTTTTGCCATTTTTGATATCTTAGAGGTTTTTTATTATTATTTGTACAGTTTAAAAAAATGTAATATAAAGTTTCAGTTTTAAGGCCCAGCCAATGGAATGTCTTCAGAAAATAAATGCGATGTTTGTTCTCGTTGGAATAATGTTCCTATTCAATTGTGAATACCTATCTCATCAATGTTTTGGAAACTGTTAGAAGATGAGCCTTGTCTTTACTCAGGGCAATCTGTGCCGGGTGCGTGTCCTGGAATGTGCTCTGTGTGGGGGACTTGGTGTCACTGAGGGTGAAAGCTGCTGCCAGAGCGGGTTAAAGCTTAATTAAAGAGTTCATTGTCAATCAAAATACTCGTACTTTTATCCTCAGAGCAATGTGTTCCGATTGCATGATCTAGGCGCGTGATCAGTGTGTTTACTGATTTGCTGGCGCAGATGGTGAAAACTGCTTGCGGAGAGGGTTAAAACTTAAATTTATACAAAGCTGGTTGTGAACACAGATTCTTGTGTTTTCAGTGCAACCCATGCCTGGCCTGACCATACATGACCTGATTGCGTGCTCACTTGGTATTGTTGGTGCTGAGAGGAATGAAACTTGTTTATTTAGAGCTGAATATTGAATGAATGTTTTGTGCTTAGGTCAGCCCGCGTGCGTGGTCTGGGCGCGTTCTGAATGTGTGCGTACTCGGTAACGTTGATGCCGAGAACTACTGGCGGGGTGGAATAAAGTTTTCTTTATACGAGTGCCTGTGTACTCAGGGCAACCGGTGCCTGATGCGTGGTGCGTGGTCTGGGCGCGTGCTCTGTGCGTGCGCGCAGTGCATGTCGCTGCTTTTGAGAACTAGTGTGGAGAAGAATGAAATATGTTTTCTGTAGAGCTTAATGTTGAAAGGTTTGTAATTGCTTAGGTCAGCCCGCTCCCCGTGCGTGGTCTGGGCGCGTGCTGTGTGTGTGCGCACACTTGGTGGCGCTGGTGCTGGCCGCAGCACACTCTGGAGCTCTCATCTCTGCGCTGTTCTCTGGCAAAAAGGACTTGCCCTTCAGATCCGTTCTGGAAGCTCTGAACGATTCCACCATACGATTTCTCGTACCGCTTCACACTGCGTACCTCAACAGTTCATTGGTACGTAATAGAAAGCGTTTTGTGTTGTTTTTAGAGAACTTTATTATCTAAAAAAAACATAGAAAGAATATATTGAGATTTATCCTAGTGTGTATTTTCTCGTTTCTTTTTTGTTTCCTTTCCTTCTATTTTACACTTTTATTACTTAGTTGTTGAATACTCTTTCTTATTCACGCCGGCTTGGATGGCTCGCGGAATTAACTGTTGTCGCTGCAGGGCCTCAGACCAGTAGGTCCTAGGACTCAAGAACCGACGGTGGCTGGTTTTTCGACACTCGCTACATATCTAGACTAATTCACCCGCTGTTTAGGGGAGAATTCTAACGACCGGCTGCTCTGATCACGGAAGTTTTCCGTGGTTTCACCAATCAACATCAGTCGAGTGTCGGAGCAGTACCTTAATAAACGGGTCACGAACCGCGTGCTATCTTTCTTTATTCCTTGCCCTATCCTCACCCCTTACACAAACTTACACTTGCATGCACTTCGTTACCACTCATGCCTGGAGACCAGTCCGGAACTTAGTCTGGCCCGGCTGGGGCGGTGCCGTTTTGGTGGGAGATACCTGGTTAGGGGAAACCCTGCTAGCCGGCGGATAGGTTGGCGTCGAATCTCACCATCCAGTGGCGGAAGATATTTGCCAACTCCCGCAATAAAACATGCAATATACTTGTGGAACTTGTCGCGACCGGAATCACAAAATAATCAACCAATCTTTGTTATATACGTTTGAATAAATACAACACTTTACCACCATGAAGTTTTCAATACTTTCCAACATAAGGAATAAAACTAACAATATAACTAAAACTGACGATGTGCATGTACGATCTTTGATATTTTTGTAGCACTGAATACATGAGTTTGGATATTTGACGCCATTCGTTTATTTATAGCATCTGTGTTTGACACTATTCGTTTTCACCGCAATTGTATTTGACATCATGTTTCCTTGGGAACTGTATTTTACACCATTCGTTTCCATAGAAACTGCATGACACCACTCGTTTCCACAGTAACAATGCATAGAAAGATACTTAAGCAATAAAATATGTCAACATCGTACTCACAAAAGAACAATATTCTCAAAATTGTTTAACTTTAGAAAAACAGTTGTAATACATAATATTTACAATATATATAATTTAACACGATGGTTTAATTACTTTGAAGAAATATATTGAGGGGTGATTTCTCAAAAAACATGTTCCTTTTTTATTTTAATAGTAGAAAAGAAATGACTTTATGAATCTGGTAAAAGATTAAAACCTGTTTCTATGAGGTCATTTTTGTTGGAAAATGTGGAGCCATTTTCGGAAAATGCAGTGTGAGCTTTCCGGAAAAAGCGAAATTTTGATCCCATTTTCACATAAAAGTTTTAGTTTCGATAAACTGAAATAATTTGAAGCATTTACACTCACAGATGCCATAAAATATATACATGTAAAGTTACTAATAATGTGAAGAGAAATATTTAAACAGTATACACATAAACGAATTTTTTGAAAAACTAAAAGAACATTAAAATGAACTTGATACATGTAGGTTATTTAGGGTGTTTAGCACTAACCTTACGAAATATATAAATAATGAGTTTTCTTTAGGAAATATTGTTTTTAATATTGCCCAATTTTCTCTCAAAATTTGGCAAAAACTCCTGAATATTTTGAAACAATGTACACTTCATTAATAAATGAAGTAATTTTGCAGAATAAATTTCGCTTCAATTATAATTCTTTATCTTTAATAATGAAGTTGTTCACTAGGAGTTTCAAAATTTGGGAACTTTTCGCATTTTTTATAATTGAAGAGTTACGATGGAAATCGGATGCGTGATTTATAATGTTTCTAATTCCAATCTAACAAGAAATTTAAAGAGAAAGTGTGGAACCATTTTTGAGAAAATTTTGAAAATGTCTTAGGGGCTTCAAGTGAAGTACCCCCAAAATCCAGCAAAATGCTTTCAAATATGCAGGGCTTTAGGTCAAGCAGATCAACAAGAGAATATTCATTTGAAATAAATCATCTAAATAGTTTAACGCTTTTGTGTCGGAGGAATGAATTAATTGACGTAATTTTTCGAGAAATTTCATGAGAAATCACTTGAAGAACTTGTACTTATAAAGGTAGTATATAAAATACGCTCGTAATGTCAACTTAATGAGAAATATATCAAAAAATGTTCGTGTGCTTTTTAAAAAATATGACTTTTAGTACTCCCGGACAGTCAGCTAGCTTTTTTCGTGAGGCGAATCCGGATTCGGTTCCAGGCTGGGACCAAAATGAAGATGTAGTTTTTCTAATATAAATCGTCTTAGTTTCTAAAGCTGTGTGATACGGATGATGAGAACACGTCACGCTCCCCTCATATCTCTTTTACCCCATAGGCATGGATAATAAATAAGCAGACCACCTAGGCTTAGGAACAGTGCTAGTCGGCAGGGTCCGATTAATCCGAACCTACAATGCCTATCGCACGCATAAATTTGTAAAATCAAAAGGTTCCATCAAAATAGCGTCGATGTAATAATATTCAGTGCAAGAAGTTGAAACAATACATTTTGAGCCATTTTTGACAAAATCTTACTTTTAAAAGTGTTTATACTTTCTCAACGTTTTGCTAAAACTACTAATAATTTTTAAAAAATATATATACTTGATGTGAATGAATGAACTACCTGTGGAGAGCACATTTAATTGAAGAAACACTACCGTGTTGATAGTGTATGAAAAGGTTAAAAAACAAGTGGTGTTACATCAGCACATACTTTCTCACCCTATTTCTAAATTTGCCATTTTCAAAAAGTCAGAGAGCTTAACGAATATGATACCCGCGCCATTTCTTTAAACGCAGGTGAATGGGGAAAAATGAAGAAATAATTCCCAACGGTTATTAAGAAAATGTTTTTTTTTTGTTTATAAATTGCATATGTTTCAAAAATACTCGTTTCTTCAAATAATTGTACGTAAACTTTTTTAGAAAGCTGAATTTTTACAACACACTTTGTCTGAAACAAAAATCTCTGTATTCAATTTTCTAGTTTTGAAATGTTAACTTTTTTCAATTTTCGAAAGTACAGAGAGTTTGCCGAAAATGGTCTAGCACTATTTTGTTACCGTATCTTGTTGCTTATGAGGAGAAAATTTAAAGAAAGAAATCGGAGCGGTTTCTGGGAAATAAATTGTTTAAAAGAATAAAACTGCATACATTTCGCGAAAAATTACACAATAACTACCCATATTTTCGAAAACAATTACATGGCCTTATTTCAGGATCTTCTTTAAGTAACATATCTTTTATGAAAGTAAACAATATCTACCCTCAATAATATAGTTGTAGAAAGACGCCGAAAAATATTCCAGTATTGCAATTTGAAAAATCACAATGAACATCAGCCCTGCACCCTCTTAAGCGCCCCTACTTTGCCAAGGTCAACTTCACTTAGCCATCTCCCAATGAAAAACATTTTTCTAAAAAGAGTTTCTCAGATCAATTTGACGGAGAAAGAAAAAACTCTCATTGCATTTGGTTTAAAAAAATTAAGTATTGTGTTTTTATTTGTTATTAATGCAAGAGTTCACTTTCGTACCGACAAATGGGATACTTACTCCTGGTATTTTGTATTTAAGTGTGAAAGCAGAGGGTTATTGGAGTAAGTGTTTAGTAAACGAGATGCACCGTAGCCTTTCACGAAAATGAGGATCATCTGACAACTTCCCTATTAGGTCATTTCTTTTGTTTTATTGTTAGTATAGTTTTGTTATGTTTATATCTAGTATATTTGGTGCTATTAGTTCTATTTGGTGGTATTATATCTAGTCTATTTTGTAATATGTTTCAAGAACAAGGATGTAAAGGAACAAAGCTAATCTTTCAATAATGAACCTGTCCATTTCCAGGGACGGGTGTCAAACTCGATTGCCTTGTACGAGAAACTGCACATTCGCGCGTTGGACGGTGATTTGTCTCAGTTCGTGCTGGACGTCCTTCGGCGCGTTTGTGAAGACCAGCGAACAGTGGCTCTCTTGGGTGGGGATTTATTGCCGGTGCTCTTGCACCGCATGGATGCATGCGACATTGAAGAGCTACCTTCTGCCCAGACCGCCAACCCCATATCCATCGCTATGACGAAGGGGAACCCATTCGTCCAGCTATTCAGCTACTAGTAAGTGTAATATTTATAAAATATAAATATTGATATTTATAAACTCTCTTCCAGAAGTTGAAATTTTACAATGAAAACAAAGCTAAGGAATCTGTTTCCCGTTCCTGTTCCGCCTAACTCGAATTTTGTGGAAGTTAGAAACTCATGTTTTTAAATATCTCCGCATCAGAATTTTCAAAATTGAATAATGCGTTGTGCACATAATTTTTCGTCAAATGACTTATGTACGATTTCCGAAAAAAAGTGATATTGTACATCGTTTTTTGTGAAATACATGTAATAGCGTGCGTTCTTTTTCGTCAAATAAATTCATATATCCTCAGTAATATAAGTTATTGACAACTGGTACGCCGTTAGCATACAATTCAAGAAGCTTTGGGGTAAGGCATCTTACCGCCGTCCTTGCCGCAGTTGCCACGGAATTGAGAAAGAGAAAGGCGCAACAATGGCACGCTAAGTTCCATTGCTTTCTTTATCAGATATTGTGACCGCCAGCCTAGGGTAGGCCGGTAGGCATCAAATGATTGGCCTACAGAGCATTCGAATTTGCGCTTGTGAGCAGACGGGTAAGTTGCCGAACGCCCGTCACCTTGTGGGGTGAAGGGGTGAGGTATTCCGGTCACAGAAAGCGCACGAGAGAATCGGAAAAGAGCCGAAAGAGAGAGAGTGGAGGCACTTCACAGCAGACAGCCCATTTCGTTTTGCTAGCTGCCCGAAGGTGGTTCTGTTACGATGACGTTGCTTTAATCTGATGTTATGTACAAGAGAGAGTATTGGAGATACCAAGACCGTTGGCGAATTTGGAAAGCTCGATAAGAGGTAAATAATACTAAACTTTAATACAGGAGTTCCCAAACCTTCTTTACTACGCCCTGTAAAAAAGAACACATCCCACGCACCCTTGCACTTTTTTCTTTGGTAATGAATAAAACAAGTATTACATTGAATAACTATATATTTAATTTTTACTTTCTCACCTTACGAAGATACTTCGTTAGAAAATAAAGTTATGTAATCGTGGTTCGGAAAATGGCAAATTTTCGGCAGAAAATCTCTTATTGCCTGTCCCTGGAGTAGATAGATGACTTTGGCTCTGGTGGGTGGCTACTTACTTGAAACCTAACAAGTGGGTGGCTATTTACTTGAAAAACAAAAATCCAGAATAAATATTGGAAATAAATTTAGCATATCTAGTCCTAGAATAATATAGTTTAATACATTACTATATAATAATATAGTTTAATAATTGATTACACTAAAAATTATATATTGTGAAGATATATAAATACAAATATTAATGCTAAAAGCTTGTTGACAGTTTAATTTACGTAGCCTAAAATACATTATTTTTTAAAACTAATTCACATCTATATCATTAGACACCAATGTATTGGTGTCGCAAAGTTATCGTATGTATTCTTGGCTATCCGGTATGAGCCGTGTCTCGGTCATTGGTACTGACGTTTCGACCATCTTGCTGTGGCCTTCTTCAGAGCAATACTGCTCGTAATGTTATCGCAAAGCAACACGCAGTCAGTTCACAATTGTCTCCTTTCTCGAAACTGTTGCAATAGTTTTGACGCAAGGTGAATGTCACGAATAATGGAAGATAAATTAATTCTTAAACAGAGAACTATTTACTTAGTGCCAGTATCCCTACAAGGGCGCAGCTCACACTGCTAACCAATTAGAATCACTCTAACACACGTGCATATGTTTACATCAGGATTTTTCTGATGGTGAACGGATAATAGCTAGTACTGCACGGCATTATATCATGATCTAACTAGTGTTAATAAACTGGGAGGAAAACCATAAAGAGAAGACTAAAATACGATGCAACGATCTCTTTCAAGAAAGTTTCTGAAATCTATCTATGTCATTTCGGGAACAAATACTAATGATAGAGTGCTGCTCTAGAACAGTTTCGTTGCTTGTGCTCTCATTTCTGATACTCCCATATGAAAACTCGTTGAAGACCATAGAAATCGTTGCTTCCCGATAACTGCGTTTCATTCACTCAGTAGATTTTTCTCTTTCACGCTAACATACTTCTGCAAGTTCATATTCCTCTTAGTGAATACAGCTATTTTAAAATATGAGGCGATATGTAAAGTGTGACCTGCGCACGTCTCAGGAAACTTCTATTTTGTTTGTGAATTACCTACCATTTTCTCCTTTCCTTTTCACTTTCCCGTGTACGTATATACGGAGTATTATATGTGGAATAGGTAAAGTTATGTAATGCTGCGTAAAATAGATTTAGAGATTTCAACTTAAAAACAAGATTTTTTCAAACACGTCTCCAATTTTTTTCTTTAAACTTTTGATAGAGATAGTGCTACATGTACTCTACGAGATGATATAGACACCACATTGCTTCATTCTTTTTTTACAAATATTACAATAATGTATTTTTTATTTCTCCATGTGTTTAAATCATGGCATATAAAGTTCCTCGAAAACTCAACCGATTTCTGTGAAAAACAACTCAAAATTTCACATTCTCAGGAACACTCAAACGCCATTTTCTCAAAAAATTGCTCTAAATTATTTCTCCAAACTTGTCGAACGGGTAGTGGTAATTTCACTCTTTAATGTGACGTAAAGTTCATTTGGAGGTAGTTTTTGGTTTTTCCAAAAATTACACAAATGTAATTTTCTTTTTCGCAAGTCGATAATGTGCACATCTGTAATTTGCAAACATTTATTTGTGAGTTAATTTATTTCAAATGACTTCTAATAAAAGTGTGAGAAAAGTTACAAATATTATGTGAAAATGAGCTTCAAATTCGAATTTACAGATAATCTTAAGTGCTGTTTTCTTCAAAAGGTTGGAAATTTTTAAAGGAAATTGTCATTAAGGACTATACCTTACTTTTCTTTAATATTCTTAGAATATTATTTCCGTTCTACTGTTAAGAAATCGAAAAATTAACGAAATTTCTTAAAAGTGTACTTTGGTAGGCGGTAGATGGCAGCAGGCAAGTGTATGTGGCAGATGCTAATAGTTGGGAGAAATCAAAGGAAATAGGAAACTTACACGGTAAAGTTTATGCCATTTTGCAACACCATTAGTTTAGTTATTCTTTCGATTCGTCCATTTATTCGTCTTTCGTCCATCACTGGGAAGTAATTTGCTTCCCACTTTGCAGCACCCGCCGTATGCGTCGCACGGGCGTGCTGGCACGCGTTCTACGCACCCACTGGCCGCAGATGCCCCAGCGCCAGGACGAGGCCTCACAGCCGGCCGTGCGCCTGGGGAACGTGGCGCCCGTGTTTCCTGCCTTCGCCGCCGGCGTGCTGTTGGCGCTGCTTATCCTGGCCTTCGAACGCCGCCTGGGCGCTCGCACCCAACGCAACGGCCAACGACATCCCTATTTCTCCGATATCTCTTGAAATTGCTCCCCAGCGACAGCACGAGACCTCGCAGCCGGCCGTGCGCCTAGGGGACGTGGCGCCTGTGTTTCCTGTCTTCGCCGTCGGCGCGCTGCCGGTGCTGTCTGGTCCTCGAATGCCGTATGCGCCCAATGAACTCAGTTCTTTGATATAACGCACGTAACCGTGAATTAGAACAACTGAATTCTAATGCATTCTATTCCTGAATGTTGTATGCAAACGTGTTGGCTGTTATGGTGTCGTTCTGCTTCCTTTAGCTCACCCACAGAGTTTCTTTTGGGAAAAAATCTCAGCATAATTTTACCAACTGACTTTTGCGTTCGTAGGGGTTTTCTGTTTGGAGAACCCGATTGTCTCAAATTCATGCTCGCTCCTTTGGAGTGTAGCTCAATGCCTTGGTAGTAAGTTTGGTCACCAGCCACGGTCAGTTTAAGAAGATCATCTCACTTTCCTATTGAACCTCAGCAAAGAGGTTCAAACACCATCCCATTTGTTTGCCTATCTCGAACGTAGCTCACAGCAAATTGAAGGGTCGCGTTAGCAAGTTATAACGAAAGCGAAAAGCTGTCAAAGAATATGGAATAATTCAAATATTTTAAAGAAGTGTTGTGAATTGTTCCAAGAAATCTCTCGATAATACTGAATAAATCTCTATTGAAAATTTATTTTCAACATCAATTGCATTATCATCGGCCTCCAGAAGTCGGTTATAATCAGTACCTGCTCACTAGCCAGGAGATTCATGGGAGGACAACTCACTCTTAAAATTGTATTTGTTATTAGCATTTGAAAACGTATTTTATGTTTACAATCTGAAAACAGTTATTTTATGTTTATATATTAGAATGCCCTACTTTGTTTTGTAGATTTTAAATATGCCTGTGTTACCATGCTTTGATATTGTATCTGTGTGGTATCCAAGTGAAGGCGAAGAATCCGGCGAAGTTTCAAAGCAGTTATTAGACAATGGGAAAATAAAACCTTTCATTTATACTGCCCATTCAGTACACTGAAAGGAAAACTATGCAAACAGGAAGGTGCTTCTGGAAGCAATTAATCATAGTCAACACCAGTGGAAAATTTGTGAGAACCTACAAGTCATTGGAATGCTGAATTTCAAAATGTTGCAGGTGGAACAGTTCTTTACATCAAAACAATACAGCAAACAAGTCTGGGAATGAAGGAAAAGTCTGGAAAACAGTGTTCTCATTGTTCTTCTTGTTGATTTCAGCATGACATTTCTACCTCCTTTCAAGCTGAATTAATGAAGTTATTAGTGAAGACGATGGATAAGGCAAACTCTAAAGCATTCCAACTTCTCTGTGAAAAATTTCCAAAAATCAGTGCAGCACAAATGAAGGAAAGAAACTTCTCAAATTGAAACATTTTAAATGATGTTGCATTCACACATACACACACACACAACTCCAGAAGAACAAAATGCCTGGACAAGTTTTCATTGCGTGTGTGTGTGTGTTTGTGTTTGTATGTTTGTGTGTGTGTGTGTGTGTGTGTATGTGTGTGTGTGAATATTTCCTAATGAAAAACAAATCTTTCAATTTATTTTATAGAATCAAGAAATTTGTGCCCTTCAAAAACTGGGCTGTAAAATGTCACTGAAGTTACACTATCTACATTCCCATTTACTAGTGGCATGAATATAATTGTTGCTAATGATCATTAAGTAACAAATATAATTATATTTTGTAAAGCTTCTCTGGTGACATGAGTGATGAACAAGGTGAGAGTTTTCAAGACATTAGAACAATGGATCAAAGCTACCAAAGGTTTTGGAATGACTCAATGGTGGCAGATTACTGTTGGATGTTATACAGAGATGATCCTAAAAGAGTTCACACGAGACTTGGGAGTTCATCATAATTCTGAGTTTGCTTTACTAATAAATTTTGAAGGAAATGAAATATGGCTGCTTTTAGTTAAATAAATGTATTTGCAACTGTAGAAAAATCGTGGGTAAAGACACAAATCTGAATGCAAGATAATGCATAATCTGTGTTAAAAATTATTTCAAAAAATATGCTTACTTTTCTGAGGATTGCAAGAAGTTTTCAATAAGTACTCCTGAAAGTATTTGACAGATACAAAGCATTTTGTGATTATATTATAAATTATAGATAACAGTATTGTTTCATAAAAAATCAATATCAACAATTATTAAATTATTAGACATTCCTACTGATAATCTGATCTTAAACTACAGCAGCTTTTCTTTTCAATAGCATCCTTAGCAAATGTATTAATTCCAATGACAGAGAACAAGCTTTTGTGTTTCTTTCCCGGAGAGTTGAGAAGTGTTTGTTGTTTGGTTTTTGTATCTTCTTATGATATTCAATTGAAATCACACCCACTTATAAACACACAATAACTTTACAATATATAATTATATTTGTTACTTAATGATCTTTAGCAACAATTATACTCTATTTAATTATGAAAAGTTTTATTAAACAGTTAAAAAAATTAGAACACAAATGGCATGTACTTACCTGCAATTATTTTGCCACGCATGAGGTAACAATGTTGTGAGAGACATGAGTCCCTTCATCCACTAATTCTTTAATAACCAGCGATGTTATATTCCATTGAAGCTAACTTTGAATTCATGTAATGTTTGCCCCTAACTAGCCTATATTGCCCGGGATGAGCCATTTCTAATTTTAAAATAACTCAATATAATGCAGTGGGCAAGTAATATATTAATTGCAAAAAATAAAATAAAAAGAATTCAACCCTAAACTAAAATACCTAAATCTAAATAATCAACAAACTAAATAGTAGCTGAGGTAAGTAATGTATGAATAAGGTATTTCAATAAAAAAGAAATACAGTATTATATTACAAAAAGGCAAAATTATCGAAATAATATCAATGACCAACTATCGCCATCTAGATAGTATTATAAAACCCCTTTAAATTAGTTCAATTGAAAAAATATATAAACAATGTATGGCTTATGGAAAAATGGAAAAGGATATGAAATGGTATGAAATAAATGAATAAATAACTATTGGAAGAAAACAGTGGCACAATACATACAAAATTAGTAATCAATAAACAAACTAATTAAACTAGCTTAACTAAAACTTGAAATAAATTAAGCAACAACAATTAAAAAGCACTACAAGACGTGAAATAACTAAAATTAAACAAATAAATGTTTAATTTTGAATATAATTGCTTAAGTCATTGGAAGTCGGGGCAAACGATTACAATCGAGATGCACGGTTTAAATGTTCGCGGAATGTCCGGAAATCTTGTGGCAAAGATGAATCAATAGCAAGTCACTATTCGCATTATTGCGATGTACATCAGGTAATTCTCGGAACAAAAAGAAATTAAAAAATACCCCGTGTCGCATTTGAGTAATATACCCATGCAACAGTAACATTTTTCGTAAGCTGCATTTTATTCCGTATTTTAAGATGATGAAAACACCATGTGTTAATATTCTATCTCGTTGGCCACATCCCAACCTATTGAATGTCAAAAGTAGCGACAATTAAAGCGGGAAATAGATAAAATTTGATCCAAGAAATACTTACAAATCCACAGGTTGCAGCCTGTAGTAAAATGTAAATGCAAAACTTGATATATTTGTAAACGACGGTTACAGCGTAAGAGAAAACTTTTCCGTGGAAACACTTCGCATTTCACTCAAGAACAGTATTTTTAATTTTAAAAAAAGAAATCAAAGATTCAAAATTATTTTGAAGAAATATATTATATTTTGAAGTATAATAGCATTGCTCTAATGATAACAAAAAGTAGTATTTTTAGCTGCCAAACAAGTTTATTCTAAGATAAGTTATCACTGTAAAAGAGAAATGAAAGTACTCACACGAAGAAACTACTACGCAAAGAATTACCAATGAAATAAATTCATTTCTGTATTTGTAAGAGCGCCAGAAATTAAGTTGGACGGTTTCGAATGTTTCCTGACAGGCTCATAAAATTCTCCATTCATGGCAAGACAATCTTCTACACGTAGTACGTATTCCTCTTGTTTTGAGCTTGGAAGATTCACGTTATTTTCTTCCTTGTTTACTAATGAAGTTTTATTGTTAGTAAAAGCTGGAAGCACTGGCACGAAGTTTCCTCGAGAATACGATTCATTGTTTTGTTTTGCATGTTTGACTTTCCTTTTTGCATTCCCAGACGTATCAAATACTTCGCATGAATTACTTCCTCTACCACAGTTATTTCTAAAACGCAATTCAGGTGGCTTAGACGATAGTTTCTGCATTGGTATTTGTGAATACTGAAGTGCCAAAGTATCACATTCCTGTTCCATAGAACTCTGCAATCGACGACATCTCCTCAGTAAAAATTTATTTTCTTCACGGATCACTATTTGTTTTTCTTGTATGCATGCTATTTCATCACATAATGCCGCATTTTCGAACACGAATTCTTTCAGTAATTGTTTCATCTTCTGCCATTTCTTTTGATATTTCATATTCTTAGCATTATCCATTGCTGGAGTTTGTGTGCGTGTGTTTCAAATGCACAAAAATCTGTAAATAACTAGATTGTTAACTTAATTTGATTGTTAAATCTTTCCAAACTACACGGGAAAATTCGATGAATACAGATATTTTCATATTATGTGGGAAGAAAAATAATCCACCTCATTGGAGTGGCAGCACCGTCGCAACAAAAAAAGAAGCGTAGGTTGAAAATTTCCGCCAAATACAATTAATACACGGCTCTTTGAATTAGCAAGCTGATGAATTTAGAGCATGTAACATTTAACTGTGTAGTAAACGAAATGACAAATCGCTAAAATTATACTTGTTAAGTTGTTATAATAAGCTTAAATACCTTACCGACCCACTGATACTGTAAGTGCTGAAAACTTTCGTAGTTTGCAAAAACTTGCCCATTTATTTGAATATGCACACGTGGTAAAAGGACAAGCTAGAAGTGTGAAATATTTAACTTCCATGTCACTAAATGGAATAGCATTCGTTGTAGGAATACTTATCTTTTTTTAAGTAAGTACAAAATTGGAACAGTTTTGAAGGTAAGTTGGCAGCAAATATGAAAGGCTTTAGCGGGTCTTGTTGCTACCAACATCTCCTGAAATGAATTTTTCTGAAACGCGGTATTATGTTGTGAAGTTTTCTAATGCGTTTGATTATAACTTGGAATTGTTCCGTAATTTCTTGTGCATCTGCATTTAGTTATTTAAATAATTGATGTTATTGGGTATTTTTATGTTTATTTAGATAATTATTATTAGTTATTTGCAGCAGAAAGTATTTACGATTATAGTACGATTTTTTTAACTGCGCACTTGAGCCCTGTCTTCTCATTGGCATTATGTCACTACATTTTGCCTCATTCTCGGTTGTGCCGCTAGATGTGACCGTATGAAGCAGTCGCGATCGCGACACGACCTAGAATGATACGACATGCAGAGATAATACCAATGTGAAAACAGAGCTCATGTGCACAGTTTAAAAAATCGCACTGCAGTTGGTTTATCTTGCGACTTTTGCGTTGACATTTATTGAGTTGTTAAAGAGTTCGAAATATGTATGTTGCTATGTTCAGTTACCATTTAATTAACAGTTATTAGTTAATTGATTTAGGACATGTTTCACCTGTGCCTATTCAAGTTCCGAATACTAATCTGACAGGTATTTTATCCGTCAGATGCCTGATATTTATTTTGCGTTTCAACTTGTTAAAATATATGACATCTTATAAATAATCTGGCTGATTGCTCTTTCACCAGCGGCAACGCCGCATTTTCGAGTCAAACTCGCTCTGTACGCGCGAATTCGAATGTGTTTTGGTAATGGAAGTGCGAGTTATTTTTCGCTTCATTTGTTTTTATTTTGTGTTGCAGTTTACTTCGGCGTGAGCTGTGTGTGAGTTCGGTGAAAAATTTTGCTTTATTGCGTCGTTCTTTGTGTGTGCAGGAGTTTCAAAATGGAAACGGAAAAGAAGCGAGAAAGAGAAGTTAATTTTACACCTGAGGAAACAAACTTACATCCCTCGTCGGGGAGAGGAAAAATATTATTAAATGTAAAGTAAATGGTGCTATTATCCGTGCACGTTTTCTTGAGCCCTCGCTTCGCTAGATTCGAGAGGAGTGGGGAGTATGGTTATTTTGATGAAAGCAATTTAATGTCGAATATGTAGTTAATTGTTCAATCCAAAATTGTTTTTAATATACGGGAGCGAACATGACCATATTTTGTTTGCAACTCTCATTGCTATCATTTATTCTTAATGCATCTAATGTTGGGAAAGGAGTGGGGGTAGATATTCCGGGGTTTAAGAAAACTTGTGGACCATGTGGCTGGATAGGGATTCGCATGGATAGCTATTGAAAAGGTTTCAATAGCTTGGTGGGGGATCCTTTTTGTGAAGGGAAACATCTTTAATAAAAATATTTAGCTCTGAAGAGATATTAAGAAAATCTGACTGTAACTGTTCAAAGTTTTTTTAAACAAAATTATAATGGAAATGATGCTAACTAAAAATGACTGATTCTGAAATCATAACTGGAGTAAGGCAAGAAAATCCATTAAAATTATCCACATGATTATGGAGGATATCATTGAAAATGGATTCTTTAATTTCTATTGCATATTTCTCATTAATTACTCAATATTGAGACCAATGACCAGCGTATTATATATTATCAAAATAAATTTCTAAATACTATTCACTCCCTGAACACAATTTTAGTCTGTATAATTTAGAGTTAAATTAAGAAAATAAGTCAGAGTAAATTGACTTCAACATCTCAACAGAATAAAGTCCAACACATCGATTAAAATTCTACTGAGAGGAGTGTGGGAAGCCCCATGAAATGAATGATCAATTTTAAATACTATCAACACCAAAGCAAATTGTACAAAAACTCCAAAATTTAGGAAAGTTTAAGCAGATAAAATTGTGAGAAAAATATGATAGTCACTTAAACAATAATAATTATTCAAGTATTCTTTTGCTTTTTAAGTCATGAAAATGTTTTTCTTCTAACAAATATATTTTGATGGTATTTTTATTTTAGAAAGACTCTTAACATAAATGTTTGTGAAAAGATTTGAGTCCAACATGATATTGATCCATTATATGTCTATAACATTCTTTTAATACCATGTTAGAAGAAAATCTTTTCACAAACTCTTATGACAATGTTCTTGCTAAAATACACATTTTGGATAATGGTCCCATAAAATATTCTAGAATAATCTCAGAAACACTACAGATAAAACCACGAGAATATTAATTCCATGTTAGAATCAAATCATTTCACAAACCTTCATGACGATGTTCTTTCTAAATTGCAAATAGCATAAAAATATATTTGTATACTTTGTGATAGGTTCCAATTGTCTTTATACTTTTTTCTCTTTATTTTTAGTTAATCCCATCAGCAACTAAGGTTATTAGCAACCAGTGATTTATAGCGAGTGCTTAGACAATTATAATTTCATCCATCATTACACCAACATAAGCATCAAACATTGTATCCTAACATTGTATGGCATCACATATTATATTTAACACACAATATAATTAGACATTATTATCATATGTCATTAAGAACATTACAATTTAACAAAACGTGATCAATTTGTTCTGATATTCGGTTGAATAAAATAAGGTATCTAAAGTTTTACTTAGATTATAGTAGATTATCTGTGCTGTCTGAATTTGGGCTGTTTTCTACCATGTGGTTTATAGTTAAATACGTGTACAAATATCACAAAGTAGAGGGAATGTTTATAAACTTATTTGTGTACTTATTTTCATATCTGTTCCTTCTACCTCTAATTATTCTTTTTTACTTTCTTTCATTGTTGTCTATTCAAAATAATGAGGTTTATTTTTATGCTGATCTGTTCTCTCTCTTTTTCCATACTTGCCTTCTCCTTAAAATGAGGATGTATAAGTATGTTCTCATGATGGGATTACTTTACCTACCCTATAACATAATATATATAAACATGTTTAAATTAAGCAGATATTTTTACCCCCCCCCAAAAAAAAGTATCAAAAAGAAGAAAAAAAAGTCAATTGGCAAATATATATATATATATATTCTTTTTTGGGGGGGGGGGTAAAAATATTGCTTAATTTAACATGTTTTGCAAGTTTTCTCCCATCTGCTTTATAGTTTCACTACTACCTTGTATTTTTTCACTAATACTTGATGTTAATGAATTTCATTTCTTATTTGTATGTAACTTTTATTTTTGATCTCTCTTTATTTTATTCACTATATTCAAAATTTGACATTTTGTTTATTTTCACAGAGATCAGGTCAATTAGACCTATCTAACATATGTTGATGAGTGTAATTGACACATCAAATTGGTGTGTTGGACAATAAAGACTTCTTTTGAAGAAAAAAATCATTAATTATTAAAAAGAAAAAGATAATTGTGTTTTATTAATTTATAGCTTCCTTAATTTATATTTAAGGCAGTCACTCTGTAGAGTAGAACACTATAAAATCGGCTTCACTCAGCATAAAAACATTCTTCTGCAAATTATATTTTTTTAGATGTCACTTTTCTTCAACATTGACGAAATGTATGTTACATATTGCCAGGTGATTGTATGGGAACATGTGTGTAATCTATTGCTGCAAGAACTCTAGAAAATCAAACAATTTCATAAAAATCTTCTTGGGTGGTTTCTATATTCCTTGGAAACTTCACGAACTCACTACACTTGAAGCAGTAGATTGCTCACCTCAATAAAGACTCTAATTATGATAAAAAATTATCTCATTTCAAAATAACACAGAGTGAGAAGTCAGTTCATTGGTGATACCTAAGAATTGCTAACAAAACACAAAGTATACATTTTATTATTTTGACATAAAATGAATTTAACAGGACTATTATTTTACCAAGACATTACAGAAATATAAATCAGTATACACAAATATTTTATTTTCTGTTCTATTAAATGCATAGCTTTGCTAACCGTAGGCTTCCTTAATGTAAAACGGATTTGCAAATTTGATCGTCAAGGATTTCAAAATATTCTGATTGGCGTGTCATGTGGGCGGATGTTCTATACCATCAAAGAATTCGTCATCTATTATCTCTATTATGTTGTCCATCACAGAAATACCACAGTTATTCCTTAAAAATCACAGCAAGTTCACACACAAATTCAATTATTTTGAAGTTATCTTCCAGATAAACGTTAAACAGCCTTTTCAACCTCTAGATTATTTCCTGGATACTTTAACCACTGGATAGATTAATCACTCATAAAACAAATTTTCAACATATCAGTAAGATCATTTCTGGATAGACTATCAGACACTTTAAGAGGCACTGGTGAAACAGGCCCTAAATAGAAGTATAATTAAAAATTAGTGTGAATATTAAATTTTATTTGGGTCAGCTTTTAATTTTAATTGTTTATTTGAATTATTTATTAAATAGTTACCACTATAGTGTGCAAATAATAGCTATAGAATGTCCCAAGTCC